CGGTCGCAACAAAAAACAGTGCACAATATGGAATGCCAAGATGAGGTTGCCTGTACCAGAAGTGACCGCAGCACCCAACCAGCACGCATGAGAACCAAGGACGGGGCAGAGCCGGCAGGGGAATAAGGGGTGGTTCCTTTGTTGGACAGCTACTCCCGCTGGAAAGCATGAGCTGGGATGGGGCAGACCAGACTAGGCAGGGCTACAACACCTGTATGCCTCATGTGGACTAAATCAGGGAAAAGCCAGGCTGGGCTGATTATTCCTACTGGTGCAAACAAAATTAGAGTGGGTGAGTGTTGTTTGGGCTTAGCCTCAGCATCAGCTGGCAAAAGCTGGCACTGGGGGCTATTTCTGTCAAGTCAAACCACAGAACTACCTGGAGAATACATAATCCGGGAGTGGGAGAGGCCTGGGAGGGAAATAGTGGGCTCATCCCTCTTGGGTTACCACTTCTACGGGAGGGAACGAAAACCAGGACAGGGGCTGGGATGGAATGGGGTGTGGGACAGACTGGACTACTGCTACACATACTGGCAAATCAGGGTAGGGGGCGAGCCTGGTGGGGGTTGTAGGTCTCCAACTAGGCTGCAGCTCCCACTTGTTTATGCGAGGGCCGAGAATATGCTGGGCAGCACCAGACTGGACTGCAACACCCATTGGCTCCAGTGGAAGTCGGGAGCTGAAAACAGAATCAACCCAGCGATTGCCAACCACCAGCTGATCAGGGCCATGGACTGAGCCGGGCCCTGTACCTGCTAGTACATACAAGAATCTGGTCTGAGAACACTTCAGACAAAGTTTCTTTGGAGATTTCCCCAATCGAAATGCTGGACTCAGAACCCTAACCAAGAAAAGAGAAGACAGAACAGGTCAATCAACCATCTCGGCTATATGTTGGCAGCGAAATACAGGGCAAACAGAGACTCTGTGATGGACTATGTCAATCAGTGGATTATCCAAAGACCTCATAGTGCTTGGAGTGGCAAGATTGGCAGCAATTTATAACTGGTGAACTATCAAAACCACTTGAGCAAGAACCTCAGAGCATACCCTACATGCGGGGCCTGGGGAGGGTGGGAATTGGGTGGGCCTTCTCCCTTAATACCCCCCTTTAAACATGAAGGAAACAATATGGAAATAATAGTGTTACCCACTTTCCTATAGCCCTTGAACCTTTTTACCCCAACTATGTAAAGATTATCAAAAATATAATAAAAAAATTAAAAAAAAAAAAAGATATATGGATTCTGGGTCAGGTATTTGGCCTTGAAGACAGTCACACCCCATATCAAGAGTGCCTGGGATCAAGTCCTATTCCTGGCTCCAGCTTCCTACTAAATACCTACCCTAGGAGGTGCCTTGTCACCTCCATGGGACACCTGGACGGAGTGAAGGAGAGACAGAAAGATCTTCCATTGTTGGTTCACTCCCCAAATGACTGTAATAGGCGGAGCTAAGCTGATCTGAAGTCAGGATCCAGGAGCCCCCTCCAGGTCTCCCATGCAGATGCAGGGTTCTAAGACTGAGCCATCCTCCACTGCTTTCTCAGACCACAAGCAGGGAGCTAGATGGGAAGTGGAGCATTCGGGACATGAACCAGCACCCATATGGGGTGCCAATGCTTACAGTCAGAGGATTAACCAATTGAGCTCTTGCACCAGCCCCATGGATTGACTTTTTTACTCCCAGCTTTGGCCTGGCCCCGCTCCAGCTGTTGCAGGCATTTGAGTAGAGAACAAGTAGAGAACAAGAGAGCCATGTGTGTACGTGTGTGTTTCTGCTTCTCAAGTAATTAGAAGGAGAAATTATTTTTTTGAGAAGAAGCCCCAAGAGATTATTAAAATTGTTCCTCATAGTGAACATCAATACTGTTTCTTAAGCCCTTAATCCAAGTCTTGAAATAAAAGAAAGAAGATGGTTTGACCAAACTTCCTGTATCTTTCTGAGCTTATCAAACTGCAGGAAGAAGCACGAGTTTGGGAAGCTGTTTTCTTCTCTGCGCAACAAGTTTCTCACTTCCAAATGAGTAGCGAAAGCCAATAATTCAACTGGTTTTTTTTTTCCTTAAATATTCAGGCTACTCCTACCAGGCCAGCTCCAGGCTCCTTGAAAAAGAACCAATAAAAGTGCATAAGCTCTTTTCAGACAAGGATATATCAAAGAGGAGGGACCAAGACAAGCATGAGGGGAAGTGAGAGACCAATAGGATTGTTCTAATAAAAATCCTTCCACATGGAAATCTGTGGAATGGAGAGTCAATATGGGTTTGACATTGTGGTGTAGTGATGTCAACATCCCATATGTGTGCTGGTCAGGCTGCTCCATTTCCTGTCAAGCTCCATGCTAATATGTTTGAAAAAGCAGTAGTGAATGACCCAAATTCTGGGTCCCTGCACTTATGTGGGAGACTTAGAAGCCCCTGACTCCTGGCTTGGCCTAGCCAGCCTTGACCTTTGTGGTCATCTAGGGATGAACCAGAAGATGAAAGATGTTTTCCTTTTCTCTCTCTTTATAGCTCTGCCTTCCAACTAAATAAAATAAATTTAAAGAGAGAGAGTAAATAACCTTCCCCACATAACCTTTAGACCTATGTAGATAGAAATACCTATTAGATAAGAACTCTGATTTAAAAAGAGAAAAACAGCTACATTGATATTCTCAATATGTATCTCTTAGGAAAGGAGGCCTTGAATTATTACAATTCGTAAGGTTTTGTTTTCAGAATTTGTATGAATCTCATAAACTGACATTTGTTTGCTTTATTTCAGAAACTTGAAATCCTTCATGAGATTCAGAGAAGGAAAGAAGAGATAAAGGAAGAGAAAAAAAGGAAAGAAATGGCTAAGCAGGTAGTCTTTATTAAGTATGCTGTAATAAAATAGTTTTGCATTTTCTTAAACATGTAATGCTTCTATGTCTACTGATGGTATTTCCCTTTCCATGTCACCAACAATATTAAAGCTTTAAAGCTAATACTTCATTCATTCTTTTGTATAGAATTCTGGCATTTAACTTGGGAGACATTGTGCGACTGTAGTGGGAAGAGGTGCCAATGTCCCAGTGAGCAGCGCCTGGCTTCAAGTTCTTGCTTTTTCACAGCCTAATGGTTCTGTGACCTTGGCAGGTGCCACTCTCAGACTGTTTTTACTCATGCCTTCAGACTGGGGTTGCTGATGCCTCCCCTTATGTGCCATGTAATTATGTCCTACATGAAAACATGAAGCTGTGTCTAAATGTCAGATAACATCACTGTTTTCCTTTGTCCTGTGTCTGGGGGTTCTGCCCCATAACCACTCTTTGTTCTTTTTGAGGACCCCTTCTCTGTTCCAGCCCCTCTTCTTCTTAGCCTTTCACGCAAGTTCGAAGATTCCAATCATTTTCACTTGTAGAATTCAGGTTCTCTTGAAACTGTAACCCAGACATCCGCTCTTCATCTAGTTCATATTTTGGGCATCAAATTTTTAAAAATTAAGCTCAACATCATTACACGTCTAAGCTTTTGGATTCAATAAGATTTACTTTCTGTACCAAGCAGATAATGATGTACCATTTACAACTTTGATCTAAAGCAGGTTTTACTTTTCTTCCATAGGAACGTTTGGAAATTGTTAGTTTGTCCAACCAAAATCACACCTCTAGGAAAGACCCAGGAGGCCACAGAACAGCTGCCCTTCTACATGGAGGCTCTCCCGACTTTGTGGGAAATGGTAAACATCGGGCCAGCTCCTCAGGGAGATCCAGGTACGTCCCTGAAATCTCTGACTTGGAAGGATGAAAGATGCAGCAGGCTTAAACAACTCCTCGTGAGGGTTGGTGGTGGTAATAGTCCCAGTAACTTTTTCAGAGTCCATATAAATATTTTAGTGACCAATATAAAATAAAATTGTAACACTTCCTGAGCATCCTTAATGAAACCAGTTTGGTAGTTCTTGCCTTCTTTAATAGCCTTTGATACTTCAGGCTTGTCTGTGATACAGTTTAACTTTTATTGACTTAACTGTTCAATAAGTGGTTTAAAAAAACTTCTTTAAAATGGGTCCTCATCTGAATTCCATTGGGGGTGAGTTTCATTCTTTATCTGCTTAGTTCTCACCACAGATGTAAGAAATGCTCCAAAGTAGGCGCAAGTATGGAGCATGTGTCACATGAGACTGGGAACCCCAATGTGTTGCTGGGCTCCCCTTCCTGTTGCTACTGAGATGGATTTTTGCTACTAGATGGACCTTTCTAGGGATTACATGAAAGCCACTACTTCTTGGTCCACATCCTTTCCCACTAAAAAATTGAGACTTTCCTGTTTGGTGTATCCCCCAACAGATCAGAAAGGCATTTTAGTACTGAAACCATTCATACTTGGTGAATTATTTTGTAAAGTAGGTATTTTTTGGTGAGTGACTAAGTAGACATTTTAGCTTCAAAAATTATTTATTTTTATTTGAGAGATAAACAGATTGAAAGACAGTTTCCATCTGCAGGTTCATTCCCCCATATGCCCACAGTTACCACAGCTAAGCTAAACCAAAGCTAGGAGCCAGGAACTCAATCCAAAGCTACCATATAGGTAGAAATGTCTCAACTACTTGAGCCATTGCCTACTATCTCCCAAGGTGTGCATTAGCAGGAAGCTGGAACTGGGAATAAAGCCAGGACTTGAACCGAGGCACTCTGACCTGGGTATTTTAATTGCTAGACTAAACACTTAGTACTTATTAAATGTTCAAACTCCCTCTTGTGGGATTATAAATAGTCCTTAGAACTAATAGGATGGTGTTTATGAAAAGAAAGATTTTAGGTACCAGACTAAGGCCTAGATAAATTTGTAGGTTATAGTTTATTAGAAAGAACCATTTTTAATTCTTTCTGTGATGTACTTAAAAAAAACTCAGAAGTCATTTTGATATTAATATATACTTTTATGATGAACTAAAAGTTTTTTAGATACATATCTGCATTTTAAAATGCTTAAAAAGTATTTTTTAATATATTTTAAGATTATAATTACTTTCCACTTTAGATTATTTTTGCAATTCAACTTCTAATAGAAGACATGATTTGAACTTGTCAGGGTATTTTTCACTAGGAAACATTTGACAGAATCTTTTTGTTAGAATTAGCTGACATAAATTAATGGATACATACAAAAAATAAAATATTTTGGGGTACATGTGAAACAACATTTTTGGAATTTAAACAGTGCTACTCTTTGTGGCTGTCAATGGTGGCTTCCAAGGTAAAACAGCAAGTTTATTCAAGGAGGATGAGAAAGTCCCTCTTGCCTTTCCATGGGTCGAACAGCTTTTCCTATAATGCTGATAGAATGCCTTGCGTATCTTGAATAGAACATTTCAATATCATCCCAGGAGGAAGGTGCAAAGAAACTGTTTTCATCTGCTTGGAATGTGGTTGGCCAAATTTGTCTCACAAGCCTGCATTGAACTCTGTGCTGGCACTGTATTGGTCTCTATATAGGAACGAATGAATCCTTCTTGAATTTAGTTTGCATGCCTTTTGGTTGAGAAATAAAATGTCTTTGATACACCAAGTTAGTTCATGAAATATTCTTGATTCTTTTTCCTCTTTGCTGTTACTGTCTTTATGAGTTGGGACATAAAGTAGTGTTCTTTTTGCTTCCTTCTCTCCCTTTCCACCTCTATCCCTCTTGCCTCCTTCAGTTCTGTCTTTCCCTTCTGCACTGTGGAACATTCGCAGTTATTCCTCCTATCTGGCTGCACTTCTGTAGCTGTTGCCCATCCACCTGTCCATTTTCCAGCCTCTAGTAACCAATCCTGTGCTCACTACTTCAGTGATGTCAACTTTCTTAGTTTCCACCTGAAAGTGAAAGTATATGGGTCTAGTTAACATATTGTCCCTCAGACTCATTCATGCTGCTAAAAAGGGTAAGATTTTACTTTTTTGTATAGTTGTTATTTTAATTGTTCTGTTAGTAAGTAGATTTAGTAGAAATGGCTTTGTCACCAATGTTTATAGTGGGCAGTATTTGAAATGATGATGACTAAAATCAGTAAGACCCAGACCTGTGATTCAGTCCTTCATTCTAAGTACTGACTGTGTGCCAGGCCCTGTTCTGAGCTCTGTGAATTCAGTAAGCAAGATCAAGGACTTTGCTTCCCTGGAGCTTACACTCCAGTTCAAGGGGACTCCACAAATAACCAAGGAAACATCAGCTAGAGATCAGTGCTAGGCAGAGAATTTAAAATAAGCCTGAGTAGTCACTAGGGACTGGACTGCCAAGTGGGCTTCAGGTAGGAGGGGGAACGCAAAGCTTAGCTCCACAGCACTTTACAAGTAGGTTACATGGATGTGGATGGAGAGAAGGAGTCAGGCCTATGAAGATCAGAGGGAGAACATCTCTGCACAGAACAACTGGAACTGTGTGCCTGAGGTTAGCGTGGGTATGTCATGTGCAAAGTTGAGTAAACAGAACTGTGTTGCTAGAATGAGTGGGCGTGGAGTGAGGGTATGGGGGTTACACAGGGGCCTGCCATAGAGGCTTTGTTGACCAAGGCGTAAGTTCCCATATACTAAGCTTTGGAAACGTTTAGCAGGAAGATGATGCCATCTATGTTGTGTCGGTTCTTGCCAGCTATAGGTGTCTGACACGGTACACAGGAAGAGAGTGAGTAAGAAAAGATGGCAGAAAGAGACAAGTGCGCTCTGGGGCAGGCTGAGGGTCTACAGCATCTCGAGCCAGGGCAGCTCTGCTTTTCTCTATCTGCAGGATACAACAAGAAAAAAAAAAAAAAAGATTTGTTTCCCAAAATGCTGCCATTGCTTAAAATTGGAGAAACAGAAGAGATGGCCCTTGTTAGTTCTAATGAAAGGAACTCAAAGACCTGACACTGAAGGCTGGCCTCCCAGTCCAGCTTTTCACTCGTGAGTCTTCTCCTTTATTGAAGAACTTTATTTTTCCTGTCCTTAAAGTCATTTCTGCCCCCAACCCCCTTGGAAGGATTTACTTTTCTTTAAGAAGTTGAGGTGAAAAAGTCAAATAAGACACACTGACTGGTAAGTCAGTGTCAGGTTGTCTCTTGAAAAGCACACAGTCCTCCCTCAGCCCTGCTTCCTGGCCAGGCACACTGCACCTCATAAAGATGTTAAAGTCATCTCTGTAAAATAGTGTGGTAGAAAATGTCTTTCACATATGCAGTCATGACAGGTGACTGAGAATAGCCCAGAGTCTAGGACACATGGTCATCTGCTGCAATCAAACAAGGTCAGACTGCTTCCCGTTTCTTGTCTTTATTCAAAGCCAGGCATCCTGACAGAGATGAAGAAATAACTTGGGGTGTAACACAGAAGATTCCCACTATTCTCCTTGACAATGCTGCTAAAGTGTAAAGTGTGTGAGTCAGGAGAGAAACAAGCCTTGATCCATCTCTCTGGATCTATGTTTCTCCCCTGTCTACCGTTTCTGTGGTTGGTTCCCGCGAGGCATCGGCTGGTTCACCTCAAATTAAACTACATCTGAAATTTGTATTAACTTTTTGCTACAAAGCTCCCCTGAGTTTCAAATCAAAGAATCAACAGAGAGTTGTTCTTTGGTTGCAGCTCATCTTGGTAGGCTAGACAGAAAAGCGAGACTCTCCCAGGCCATATAGGCCTCAGGTGAGGTCCTTTCTCTGCCCCATCCCAGCTGGCTACAGCCATTGATCATGCTGGTGGAGCAGCTTCTGATTCTTGACTTTGGCCTCCCAGACATGAATGTTGCAGCTGTTTGGGGAGTAAACAGTGGATAGAAGATCTTTCTGTGTGTCTCTCCAATTCTCTGTCACTCTTGACTTTCAAATAAATAAAAAAATAAATCTTAAGAAATATCTACATTGTAAACTACCTTAAAACCAACCATTTACATACTGTAGATTAAAGAACATTGAGATGGGCCCAGTACGGTAGCCTAGTCACTAATGTTCTTGCCTTGCAAGCACTAGGATCCTGCACGGGCACTGATTTGAGTCCCAGATGCTTCCAGCTCCCTGCCTGGGAAAGCAGTCAAGGATGGCCCAAAGCCTTGGGACCCTGCACCCACATGGGAAACCCGGAGGAAGCTCCTGCCTGGCTCCTGGCTTCAGATTGGCTCAGCTCTGGCCATTGTAGCCAGTTGAGGAGTGAACTAGCGGTTGGAAGATCTTTCTCTCTGCCTTTCCTTCTCTCTGTAAATCTGACTTTCCAATAAAAGAAATAAATCTTAAAATAAAAGCAGGAGACTGTTGAGATGGGGCCAGTGCTGTGGTGCAGTAGGTAGAAAATCCACCTGCGATATGTGTGCTAGTTCGAGGTCCCACTGTTCCACTTCCACTTCAGTTCCTTGTTAGTGTACCTGGGAGAGCAGTGGAGGATGACTCAAGTGCTTGGAAGCTTGTGCCTGCATGGAATACCTGGAAGAAGCTTCTGGCTCCCAGCTCCTAACTTTGCAGCCACTTGGGGAGTAAACCAGCAGATCGATTGCTATCTCTCTCTCACTTTCTCTCTATATATATATAACTCTTTTTTTTTTCAAGTAAACAAATAAATCTTTAAAAAAAAAAAACTTCAAGATAGCCTAGACTAAAATGACTGTTACTAGTCAGTGGAACAGAACTGACAATGAGCATAGCATATCATCTTAAACCATTGCTTCTGTCCTCTTCTCTATAAATCTCAATATGCTCCTGATTGTAGAAATTGTTTCAGAAGCAGATGCTTTTGTAGAACTGTACCGTGTTCATTATTCTGAGTGTTTAGAGCATATAAATTTTGTACGGTATAAGATAACCTGCATAGCTCTTATTTAATCGACATCAAGATTGAAAGAAGTTGGGGAAGGGAATGTTGTATAGCATTGAGACTAGAGAGACCAATTAATAATGAAGCATTGCATGTGTACAGGAGATAAGTGGAGATGACCTGACCAGATCAGGGGATGTGGAGAGAAGAGGACCTTGGCAATCAGTCAGATGCAGAGGTTCCTGGACCAAGACTCAAGTTCCTGAACAACAAGACAGTGTCAGTGTGCCACCAACCAAAGTCAGAGGAGCAAGGGGGAAAAGTCGAGAGTGGATGGAAAGATGGCAGATTGTAGAAATTTGAAAATGAGTAGCAAGTCAGGAGAGTGGTACAGGATAGGAGAGATGCCTAGGCTGAGGAGAAAGAGCCAGTATATGGGGCAGGTTAAACATTCAGGAGAGAGGGACTAACTGAGGGACTATCTGGTGGACAAAGACCCCAAAGCCGTGGGGACTGGAACTAAAGACTAGGTTTGTGTTCCTCCTTAGGATCACCTAAAAAAAATTTTTTTTTAAGATTTATTTTTATTATTATTTTTTTAATTGGAAAGGCGGATATACAGAGAGGAGAGACAGAGAGGAAGATCTTCCGTCGATGATCCACTCCCCAAGTGAGTGCAACGGCTGATGCTATGCCGATCCAAAGCCAGGAGCCTCTTCCGGGTCTCCCATACAGGTGCAGGGTCCCAAAGCTTTGGGCGGTCCTCAACTGCTTTCCCGGGCCACAGGCAGGGAGCTGGAAGAGAAGCGGGGCTGCCGAGATAGAACTGGCGCCCATATGGGATCCCAGGCGTGCAAGGCGAGGACCTAAACCACTGCGCCACCACGCTGGGCCCGGATCACCTAAAAAATTAAGTGCACTGCCAGTGTAAAATACTTTGTAGGTAGAAGAATCTAGGGTGTGGACTTCCACCTTTATTGCATTATGTTCTCAGTGAAAGGCAAGGTCAAGATTATACCCAGATGGTGATCCAGAGATTTAGAGATCATCCCATGTACTTTGTCAAAGCAATGTACCTGGTCCTAACCATCGAGAGTGCTTGCTCATTCTCTCTCCCCCCACCCCATCTCTCTCTCTCTCTCTTCTGACCAGACACCCTATCCCCCAATACATTAATGATTTCTGCATCATAATTAGCTTCTAAGATATTGCTCTCCTCCCCTGCAAAGAAGAAGAAATGTTGAATTTCTGAATGTTTTTCAGAAGTAAAAGAAGGGAATGACAGGAAGTACCCATCAAAGGCAAGTTGGAGAATGAATGAGTATTCAATGATTGGAGGTCCAGTTGGAATCCAGTAATAAAGAGAGGCTCAATCCCCCCTATTTTACCACCTTCTCCAGAGGTGCACTTGTGTAGAAATAAAAAGACATGAGATTGATGTGTACTTGCTCTACACCAGTGCTGACCAGCGAAATTTTCTGTCCTGGAATAAATGTGCTATATTTGTCCTGTCCAGTCTAGAAGTCACTAGTCATGTGTGGCTCTTGAATACTTCAATGTGGCTACCACATTAAGCCTGACTTTTTAATTTAATCTTTAATAAAGATAGCTGCAAGTGACTCGTGGCTACCATATTGGGCAGCACTGGCCCACAGTTAGGAGTTTGTCAGGCACATATGGAAAAGATGACAATGGGAAATTTGGAAATTGAAATTTCCCATTCCTACCATATACAGATGTTAGACTGTGAGTGGACTAATATATGAGTAAATGGAGATGCAAGAATTTTCTGTATGGATTCTTAAGATTAAAGGGGGAATAAAACCATTGTGTAAATTTATTTTCAAGGCGAGAACGTCAGTATTCTGTATGTAGCAGTGAAGATTCTCCTGGCTCTTGTGAAATCCTGCATTTCTCAATCGGTGGTCCTGATCAGCTCATGGTACACAAAGGGAAATGTGTTGGTGAGTAAACTCACTGCATACACCTCAGTTGCTGTAATGTCAAAAGTCAGTCATAAGGAAACTGGGAGAACAACCCCTGTGTTATCTAGACCAGAACTATCCAAGGGCATCTGTCAGTCAGGTAACCTCCTCACTCGCGTTCCTCATGACTGGAATAAGGAATCAGACAGATTCCCTCTAGAGTGAGGTGACAATAAAGCCTATGCTTTTAGAAATAATCTCAGCACAAAGCTGATTTTGAATTTGTCATGATACCTATCCTAGCTTTTTAAAACAGAACAAAAAAAAAGTTGAAATATCATCCATCATTACAATTTTAATGCAATATGCATCTAATGCTGATAAAATGCATGTAACAAAATGAGTTCTAGTGCCTGTAATCTTTAATGAATGTTTCTAATCTCAAGACTTTATGTTGATAGCTGTTGCTTAGCATTCCTGCTTTGTGTATGGTACCTGGCCAAGCAAACTAAATGTTTCTAGACATGTGTCTTATTTAACATTTTGGTCTGTAGGTGGCAGTTCAGTCCATTTGGAGGGAAGCTGGTTCAGCAGTTTGGGATTTGAATTGCTAATATTAAAATCAAATTTTCATTGTGTGCTTCGTTCGTCTTAAAGTGCCTCATCTCTTCTCGACTGTGGATGTAGCAGCCATCATTAATGTAGGGATGGCTTGCAAACAGTGAATTTGACACTTGACATTAATCTTCAATCCCTTGAATATTCTTACCAGAAGTAACAGGGAGCTAAATTATCTATATCAAATTTGCTTTCTTTTGGCATCTTTCCCTTTGTTCTTTAAGGAGGAACAGATAAGCAAGTCAGCCTATGGGGGCAGCTATCAGGTGGGAGTAGAAAAACCAAACATCTGAAAAAGCTATGAACCAGACATCTAATCTTGGCCAACTAAAATAATTCTGTGCATACACAGAGATGTCAAACTCAGACAAAGCAACCATGTGGGCAGGGTCAAGACCTTGGTAGGATTTGGCTGCGGGTGGGCCTGAAACTACCCTTGACTCAGGGGCATCTCAGATTTGTAAACTTGACAGCATAAAACTCACAACTTTTAATAACCTGGGGAAATCAGGAAGGCAAATCAACTTGGTTTCTTATTCTCACTGGTCCTCATTAAGCACATTCACCTTGGTTAGTACCTTTGTTAGGAGACGCATTTGCAAATGGAGAATTTCTTGTAAAATCACCAAGTGAATTATTTATTTTGTTTTCTCACAATGGGTCTAGTTTTGAAAACATGCCCGAATTTTCTATGAAGTGTTTTTTTAATAAATGATCAACTCATTAATTTTTAATTTTAAATGAGACATTTTAATTTTAGAAACCAATTAATTGATTTAGTTTAACGTTGTTAGAACTACACAGAATAAAGAATTTACTTACAGATATGGATAAGTACAAAGACCGTGAAAATTATTGTTAGTGAAGAGCAATTTCAGCCAGAGTTCTTTTGGCAACATCTTTTCCTTTAGTCTTATAGCTGTTTTCTCCTGTATATTTTATTATCTCATCATGAAAAAGTGACAAAAAGAAATGGGCCATAAATGGTAACTTTTAGCATATGTGCTGCCAAAGTAAGCACAATAAGTTATAACTTTTAAAACAACTAGCAATTATGAAATGCATACTTGGTCCCACTGGGAAAATAAATATTGCAAGATGGTAACACAAATTTAATTAGACTTTATGTAAATAACATTGTATTCTATCCCATAAACATTTAATGTCTTCTGTTAACATGGAATGCTTAGATTCCACATTCTCAAATTGCTTCCTTTGGTTGACACATTTCCAAACATCAGGGTTTTCCCTCTTAGGATAAGACTATCAGGAGTTATTAGGAAAAGTGTAATAGAAGGCTAATAAATGTATCTAAATTATCAGCTTTTTTATAAAGTAGAAACTGCTCAGATTTTTAAAAAAGTCCTGGTGAGCTAGTTTAGCTCTATTTCTCAAATATTTTTGCTAAGGCCATTTTATCTCATATATAAATGTTACTTCACTTTTTACATGGAAAAATTAATTATCAGTGTATCTTAAAGCTTTTTATTATGAAGACAATGTAGTGTCATGAAAAACTTTTTATGTATTAAGAGAAAAAGAATTCTTAATATTAATAATTTTCAACTGATGACACTTTTATAGCCTAGGGGACATTTGGTGATGTCTGTGGGTATATTCCTAAATTTTTAAATCTACTTGAAAAGGAGAGAATCAAAGAAAGACACAGTCAGATAATGATCTCTCATCTACTGATCTACTCCCCACATGTCCATAAAAACTGAGATATGGCTAGGCCAAAGTCTGGTCATGAACTCCATCTGTTTCCTGCGTTGTAGGGACCCAGCTACTTGAAGCCAGGTGAATATTTTTTAAGATTAGGAGTGCAGGTGAGGAGCTACTGGCATCACATGGGCAGAGGCCAGGAAGCTACCACACCGCTACAACAAAGGTTTATCCTTTCCAAATGTCAGTAGTGCCAAGGCAAGGGTGCTCTATGAGCTGTAATTTGGTATGTTAAGAAGAAATGAATGGGGTACAGGGAACAAACAAAAATAAAGCAAAATAGTAATATCTTTCTCTTCTTCCAGTATTGTAATAATTTAGTTGCTAATGAAAATAAAGATTTCTTTTTTCCCCCTGGGAAGCAGACAGCGCTCGCATATACTGATTTTACTCCCCAGATGCTCTCAATTGTTATGGCTAAGCAAAAGCCAAAGCCAGTGGCCAGGAACTCAGTCGATCTCTCATGTGGGTGGCAGGAATCCAATTACTTGGAGCATCACCTGCTACCTGCCAGGGGACGTACCAACAGGCAGCCAGAACAGGGAGCAGAGCCAGGGCTTGAACCCAGACGCTCTGCTACGGAACGTGGACAGCCCCAACCGGCATCTCAACCACTAGGCCACAGGCCTGCCTTAAAAATAAAGCTTTTTGAGAAAATTTTTGATGTTACAGAGATTTAATACTCCTAACTGGAAAACAAATACCTATCACTAAATAAAGTGTCTTTCTTCCTCCCTTCAAACTGAAACTATCATTTCTGGTTCTTTCCCTCCAAAATGCTGACTGGTTTGTATTTACTGAGCATATTCCAATTTTATATTTGGAAAGTATTCAAATGTATTGATGTATTCAAATTTCCAAGTCGTGGAAGCCTGTTTTTCCCACGCGTGCTGATCTCCACTGATAGGGTAATTTTAAAGGAGCATGCTCAAGGTCCAGATTCTGTCATCTTACTTGGTTTTTAGGCGTATCACCAGGTACACCAAAGTGTAAGCAAAAGTGAATTGGGTGTGAAAGCCACATTTACAATAAAGGCTGGAAGGATAAATCTTTGGTCTTCTGGTTACGTCGAAGGTCTCACTGCTTTTGTCCCATTATGGCAATTAATATTTTAGAATTCAAGGTGAATTGTTTAATATCAAAATTGATTACATAGGGCTTGTGTTCCTTCCATGAAATTATATTCTGCATAGTTATAACAGGCCATGCATTGTTCAAATAATGAATGTTCCTTCCTTTCTCTCTCTCCCCTCCCTCTAGAAAACATGCCAGGGGGGTTTTAATTTCATTTTCTGTTTATTGTGCAGGCAATGATGAACAGCTTGGAAAATTAGTGTACAATGCTTTGGAAACAGCCACCGGCAGCTTTGTCTTGCTGTATGAGTGGATCCTTCAATGGCAGAAAAAAATGGGTCCGTTTCTTACCACTCAAGAAAGAGAGAAGATTGATAACTGCAAAAAGCAGGTGGGCATCTGAGATAGCCGAGCCAGGAGTCTTGCCTTGAGCCTAGGAGATGGCAAAACAAAGTAGCTGTGCTTTCGGTTGATTTGCAAAGGCAGTCCAAAGTAGAATGAGATCTACTCAGCCAGAGGGAACTGTGGGGGACCAGCACCTCCCCCACCAGTGTTTCTGGGCCCATGGCTCCCTGTTTCAGAACATGTACAGCAGGAACAAAGCATAGCGGCTGCCTCTGACCCTCATCTGGCATTAACAACCAACTGAGCCTAAATACTATTACATATTGTGTGCTTCACAGTTACTTACATTTTTCTTGTTTTGGAATACTGTTTCAAAACTGAATTGGAGGGGATTAGAAATTTTTAATTTATGATAACAACTTTATGGAGAATATTCTGTTATATATGGCAGTGTTGTAAACAAAGAGGTTATAAAACAGAATGGTAAGGGCCTGGCGCCGTGACCTATCGGCTGGAGTCCTCATCTTGGGCATGCCGGTATCCCATGTGGGTGCAGGTTCTAATCCCGGCAGCTCCACTTCCCATCCAGCTCCCTGCTTGTGGCCTGGGAAAGCAGTCGAGGATGGCCCAAAACCTTGGAACCCTGCACCCATGTAGGAGAACTGGAAGAGCTCCTGGCTCCTGACTTCGGATTGGTGTAGCACCGGCTGTTGCAGTCACTTGGGGAGTGAATCAACAGACAGAAGATCTTTCTCTCTGTTTCTCCTCCTCTCTGTATATCAGACTTTCTATTGAAAGAAAAAAAGAGACTCTTAAAAAAAGTTAATGTTTCTTGTTTCTGTTGGTCATATCTCGAAAGAAATTGAGGATATCCATCAGTTTTATAGTATTCCTACATTATATTTTGAAATTAATGAAACAGATTAAATTTTTCCCATCCTTATAAACTATTAGATTGACAGTATAGTTTGGGGGCAGGATTCCATTCAGGACATATTTGTTCTAATCTTATTTGAAGGTATGTTTCCATACATTTCACTTGAGAGGCAAAAATACCACTTAATGATGATTTATGCTTAATTCTCCCTCTCTTTTTTTTTTTTCTTTTTCCTGGTCAGATTCAAGGGGCAGAAACAGAATTCAGCTCGCTGGTGAAACTGAGCCATCCAAATGTAGTGCGCTACTTTGCCATGAGTCACAGAGAACAAGATAACTCCATTGTGGTGGACATTTTAGTGGAGCACATTAGTGGAGTCTCTCTTGCCACTCACATGAGTCACACAGGCCCCATCCCCGTGCACCAGCTTCGCCGCTACGCAGCTCAGCTCCTGTCTGGCCTGGATTATCTGCACAACAATTCTGTGGTGCACAAGGTCCTAAGTGCCTCTAATGTCCTGGTGGACGCAGAAGGTACCATCAAGATTACGGACTACAGCATTTCAAAGCGCCTCGCAGACATCTGCAAGGAGGATGTGTTCGAGCAGACCCGAGTTCGTTTCAGTGACAATGCTCTGCCTTATAAAGCCGGGAAGAAAGGAGATGTTTGGCGCCTTGGCCTTCTGCTGCTCTCCCTCAGCCAGGGACAGGAATGTGGGGAGTACCCTGTGACCATCCCCAGTGACTTACCAGCCGACTTTCAAGATTTCCTGAAAAAGTGAGTACTGGTTAGATTCTGCTACTGAACACTGCTCCTGTACTTTGTGTTGTGCTGGAGTGTGCCCCACATGCAGATGGTACAGCAGCTGGCAAGTGCGGCCCAAGACCAGGGTCAGTGCTGTGCTCTCCCCACGTGTCCCCGACTGCCTGTGTTCTAGTTTCTCAAGTGTAGTCCTCATTTGCTTCACCACCATGGTCTCCTCAGTTCCTCAGGCATAGCCATTGCTGTGTAAGCTGGTTCTCAGGGACTGCTGGAGACATTGTAGGAAGAATCCCCTCATCCCATCTGTCCCTCTAGGAACTGTTCCAGTGAGAAATGCCCCAGGGGTTCAAATGGAAGACCTTCTCTGTCCGCTTTTCCTGCCAGCTCCCAAAGGAGCTAGCATATATTTTTCATATTTAGTGACAAAATGGTAGACTTATAACTAAAACTTGGCTAGTTCTCTTTCTTCTTTTCTTTTTTATGGTTTATTTATTTAGGAGGCATTGCCCAGCCCTGGGTGGGGCCCAGCCCTTGACTCACCCTGAGTCCCCTGAAGTTCTCGCTGGCAGCCTCAATAACAAAAACCGTGGAGAAATGTGGCTGTTTCCTTTCTGCTTCAAAGGAGAAGCTCTTGCTGCTTCTGACTATTTTGTTGCCACAAGTATTGGTTCAGATAATTTCATCATTTAAGTGAATTCTTGGTGGCTATAAAATCCCTTAATACAGCTCATTGTAGCTAGACTTTAAATTTATTTGTGATCCAAAATTCCTTCATGTCATCACCTTAATTTCACACTTTGGTTAGAGTCAACATTGCTCTTCAGAAACTCAACAAGAATGGAAAGCATTTGGTGCAGTGATTAACAGACCACTGCGTAGGATTCCAGCATCCCGTAACAGAGTGCCTAGATGCGAGTCCTGGCTCCACTCCCAATTCCAGCTTTCTGTGGTTGCACACCCTAAAGAAGCAGCAGGTGATGGCTCAAGTACTTGTTATCACTACCACCTGTGTGCAAAATCCAGGTGAAATTCCAAGTTCCTGGCTTTGGCTTGGCCCAGCCTATCCTAATTCCAATGTTACAGGTATCTGGAGAATAAACCAGCAAATGGAAGATGTGTATGCATCTCCTTATCTCTCTGCCTTTCAAGTAAAATGAAAATGTGAAAAACAAAAAAAAAAAATGAAACTCAATTCTCAATGCGCCTTTTTTAAAAAAAGGTTTATTTAATGTATAAAGAAATGGCAGATTGACACCTTTATAGAAGTCAAAGAAATATCTTTAAGTACTGACTTGGAAAGATCTCTAAGACACTTGGTTGAATGAAAAAGCAGGTTGAAGAATAGTATGTATAGGATGGTGTGTGTGTGTGTTTTTAATAAGTCAGTTTCCCAAAAACAGTGCTATTTTGTTTGGGTTGTGCATTTGTATAAATAAAAACATTGGAAAATGATCTGTAATGATGTACACTAGAGGAATGGGGAATTCAGGGGGTTGTCTCAAAGACTTTCTGTATTAATATTTGCAAGGAGAGGCATTTGTATTTTACTGATATAATAAAAATTAAGTTTAAGGTAAAGCACCATATCTTAGCAAAATGTTTTATTGGACTCTTGCCCTGTGAAGGTGCAGATTTAAGAGTACTTATTTTTAGTACTGGAACATTTCTTAAAATTTGCTATTCTTTGTGATCATTACTGTCACCACTTTGTATATATGGTTTTAAGTCCAGAACTCCCAGTAATGGTTGAGTCTTTAAATATATTGTTTACACTTAAGGTCAGGTGCTACCACGTGGTGCCACTTGAGGCATGCATATGAAAGTTAAACAGTTTAGATGAATTACAACAGTGGTTTTCAGAATCTAGTTTACATTCAAATCACTGGCAAGGCCATGGTAACACGGATTGTTGTCCAGATCTCCTGTGCTGCTAATTTACCAGGTCTGGGATGGAATAGGATTTGTACTTCCAGTAGATTCCTAGATAATACAGTTCTACTGAGCAAAGGCCCCATTTGAGATCCTTGTAGTTAAAAGTGTGGCTTAGTTTTACTCATCAGAAAACAAAAGCAGTACTTATTAGAACACTAAACTGTTAATTCATAGGCACAAGGAATGAGGATTAAGAGAAAGCATGTGGAATCTTTAAAAACTTTCCATTCACTACTGTCAACTTACTTTATATTGTGATGGACAGTTTATCTCCTTGGGCCCCAGACTTGTCTTGGCTCTCTGATGGGCTTCGTATTTGGAAGTGTTATTTATGACTGGTTCTCAGAAAGGCTTACTTAAGCATGGCAGGTCATTACAGTATTCATGAGAGTGAGAATTCATAGCCTAGTTGTGCTATTTTTATACTTCTGGAAAAAATCATTTCGTGGAGATAAGCCTTTTGGTGTGCAAGGACTATGTTGGCTTTTTAAAAAATATATGTATATGTATGTATTTTTTTGAAAGGCAGAGACAGCATTGCTATTCACTGGTTCAGTCCTCAAATGCCCCCAACAGAAAGTTGAGGCCAAGATTTAAACTAAGACTGGGAACTCAATCCAGGTCTCTCACGTGGAAGCAGAACTCAAGCACTCAAGCCTTGCGTGGTCTTGCGCTAGCATGAAGCTAGAGTCTTAAGATGCAACTCGGATGTGCAATGCAGATGTCTTAACCACTAGGCCAAGCACCAACCCTGGTTTCATTTTTTGTTTTGGTTTCGTGTTTTGGTTATTGTTCATTTTGGATTTTTTTTATTCCCCATTTTCCCCCAGCCTGGTACTTAGCTTATAAATCCTGCAGGATGTTTATCCATGTAAGTTCACTTTATGTGAGTGCACTTTAGTGCGTAAGTAACATGGGTTCTTTCATGTGTGTCTTTAAAAAACTAAACCCTTGTGGAATGCCTTGGATTAAGGAGTTTAGTGTTGTTTTGGTTATCGCTGAGATTCTTCCTCCTCCTCCTCAGATGTGTTTGCTTGGATGATAAGGAGAGGTGGACCACTCCGCAGCTGTTGAAACACAGCTTTCTCAATCCTCAGCCGAAGGCGCCTCTAGTGGAACAGAGTCCTGAAGGTGAGTCTGTAACCACTCTCGATAATCTGCTTGACATGAATTTTTTTTGAAAGTGCATGTCAATTTAATGTGGGAAAGGGCTGCACAGATTATTCATGCTGAGCTGAGCTACACACGACTCCCTTCAGCAACGAGCAGCCCCCTGGGGGCAGGAGACAGCTGTGCCACCCTTCCTCTCCCAGTCTCAACTGGAGTTGGCTCTCTACAGGTTAGCTCCCCCTTCCTCTCCTGTTGCTGCATTTTCCTACTGCTGCATACGTAGTAGGTTAATAGGCCTCAGCAAAGACTGGGTCTGGGATCTGGCTCCATCTTAGTTCCTCCACCTGTACACTGAGGCAAATTTTGAGTCTGCCTTCCTACTGGAGAACGTAGATGAGCATGGTGCCAGAGTTGCTGAGGCAGAAGCATTTTCCCAAGACTGGCTGGAGCCCCTGCTTGCAGTGTCCCCAGTGGGATGTGGGAGGGCCTCCTGTGTTTCTCACGTCTTAGTTACCTCTTACCTTTTGTTCTATCACAGATTCCGCGGGCCAGGATTATGTTGAGACTGTCATTCCCAGCAATCGGCTCCCCAGCGCAGCATTCTTCACGGAGACCCAGAGGCAGTTTTCCCGGTATTTCATTGAGTTTGAAGAGTTGCAGCTTCTTGGCAAAGGGGCTTTTGGAGCTGTCATCAAGGTACAGACTCGTCTCCAGATCCTGCTCCTTCTGCACTGCATTTCCAGCAGGGCTTGGAAAGCATGACTTGTTTGAGGAACAGGAAGGGAAGTAAAGACCAGTATGGTCAAATTCACCTTTGTGGGTGGGAGGGGTCTCTTTCAGGTTCCACTGGGCACATTGAGAACTCAGGTTCCCTGTCCTTGGTTGGTGTTGACTATTATTGTGAAAATCATATAGGGGTAATAGCACTTCGAGTGGAGTCCAGGCCTCTAACTGAAGAACATTTTTACATGCTTTAGTACAGAAAGTTTCTCTCTCTTCTCCCATTTACTGTTAGAGTTGCTATGGAGAAAAGGATTCCAAGATTAGAGCTGAGATGGGACTCAAACTGGAAAATGGCCCCAGATGGTCTTTATGGCTATAATGTTCCTATTCTCGTTAAAGAGAGTGGAAGGTTACCGATATGTTGTTGAAAGTCATTGTTAGGTCTTGCTTTCTTCATTCCAGTCCAACACGGAGATTTTTATTAATACCTGTCCCTTGCTGAAAGAGGACTGAGTTGTTTTTTGTATGATCTAAGTATTTCTTTTTCTAAATTAATACTGTATTATTAAGTGCATAAAAGAATGTGTCTGAAGGTGACCCACCATCAGTGTGGTATATGTCTACTTAGGGTTCTGAAAATATTGTTGGGAAGTGTTATCCTCACTGTGGAAGGCTTTCTACTTCAGTGAAAGAATAGCCCGAAGACCAGGAAAATTATAGTTTCCCAAGGCCTGGAGTACTTGTAGTCCCTTTAACTCAAAATGTCCTTCTTATCAAGTCTTTTATTTGTATTTTACATTCTCAAATATTAAAAAAATAATAGCAAGCTTCATCTCCTCATACATGTGTACAAAGGACGATTAAGAAGCCCATTTTGTATGTCTTACTAATGTCTTTCCTGTAATGGCTCCCTGTGAGAACACCCCTGTCTTTATGCCTCATCTCTTTATCAGATTAGGGTAGACCTCTTTGGTTGGTGATCTGGCATTTCATTCACAGTTGTCCCTATTACTGCTTATGCCACTTTGCATCTGCATAAATGAATTCCTTGGCATTTCCAGGAGATCTGGTGCCATAGCCCAGTCAGGGACTCAGCATACGTGTTGTGTTCCAAGCCCTGGGACTAGAAGTCAGCACTGAGATTTCTCACACCTTGTCCCTTTCTCTGCTGACGTGGCGTGGCAGTAAAGGAACACAGAGCTGTCATTTTCTGGAGCGCCATTTTGTGTCTTGGGTGTGTGCCAGGTGGTTCACAATCTCAGAATATTCATCGGAGACAGATATAATCCCCGTTTTTCCAAACAGAACCAGGTTTGGTAAAGTAATACTGCAGTAAGAAATGAAACCAACATTCACACCCACATCTGTTTTACTCCAAAGCTTACGATTTTGTCACTCTGCCCACAGTAGAAGATGATCTGAAACTTGGTTTTCTACTATTTCTTTCTTGTGTAGAACTGTTTTTAATAGCCAAGCTGAAACTTGTAAGCCACACCGTCTTGTCAGTTGTAATCACCTAACCTCTTCCTGCCCAGGGCTGAGTTGTTGCTTTTCAGGAGCATGGCAGCACCGCATTTGGGACTAGAAGATTCCAATGAACAGAACTTCAGAAAGTTCTCCAGTCAACCCAGTTGCATGGTGAAACTGCCCAGGATAATGAGGCCTGCAGCCAGGATATGGCAACTTGCCTTTGAAACTTTTTCTTGCATTTTTAGCATTTTACTTTGTGTGTAAGATTGATTTATTTGTCAGGCAGAATGACAGGAGAGGGGGAAGACAGACAGAAATCGCCCATCTGTTGATCCAAATAATCGCAATAACTGGGGCCAGACTTAACTGAAACCAGGAGTTAGGAACTTCATCCGGTTGGCCACGTGGGTGCAGAGACCCAGACCTTGTGCTGCCTTCCCAGTCACATTAGCAGGAAGCTAGATCACAAGCAGAATAGCGAGGACTTGAACCAGCTCCTATATGGGATGAGAGTCACAGGCAACTGTTTTTATTTATGTTTTATTTATTTATTTTTAAGGATTTATTTATTTTTATTGGAAAGGCAGATATACAGAGAGGAGGAAAGACAGAGAGGAAGCTCTTCCTTCAGATGGTTCACTCCCCAAGTGACTGCAATGGCTGGTGCTGAGCCAATCCAAAGCCAGGAGCCAGGAGCTCTTCCGGGGCTCCCACGTGAGTGCAGGGTCCCACAGCTTTGGGCTGTCCTCGACTGCTTTCCCAGGTCACAAGCAGGGAGCTGGATGGGAAGCAGGGCTGCTGGGATCCCAGGGCATTCAAGGCAAGGACTTTAACCACTACGCTATCATACCAGCCCCACAGGCAACTGTTAAACTTACAGCACAAGCCCCTTTACTGTGTTTAGAATTGCAATATTTTATTTTCAGTACCCATCATTAATCATAAATGTTATATAAACAAAATCAATAAGCAATAATTATATTAATAGAAATAACTATTTTTAAATTAATCTTTAATATTTAAATTTTGTTTTATTTGAAGACAGAGATAGACAAACATAAGATTTCTCATCAACTGGTTCATTCCCCAAATGATCAGATTGGACAGGATCAAAGCTGGGATCCAGGAACTCACTCTAGGGCTCCCACATGGGTGGCTGGGACCTAGTTACCTGAGCCATCACCTGTGCTTCCCAGCATGGGCATTAGCAGCAGGTGGAATCTGTGATGGAGCCAGCACTCTAACCCAGACACCATGGCATGTGGGTGCCCAAGCAGCATTGTAACCACCACATCAGACACCTGCTCCAACAATTGTCACTATTTACTCACTCATCACTTTCTCTCTGAGGCTTTAATACATTGCTTTTGCCCTGGTTATCTCATTTAGTACTCACAGTCATTATTTGTAGTCTTGGAAATCATATAAATCTCATTTATAGATAAGTAAAATTGAATTTTAAGGAAATCAAGTAATTTACCCAAGTTCTCTCAGCTTTAGAAATCAGGGAGTTAACATTTGCGTTAGTTCTATTAAAATATTTGGAGTTTAGTTTTTCTTTAGTGAATTTAAGTATTTAAAAAAAAAATCAAAAAGAGGCTAGCGCTGTGGTGCAGTAGCATGTTAGGCCCCCACCTGTGGTGCTGGCATCCCATATGGGCACCAGTTGGAGTCCTGGCTGCTCCACTCCTAATCCAAAATCCTTCCTATGGTGTAGAAAAGCAGTGAAGGATGGCTCAGGACCTTGGGCCCCTGTACGCACATGGGAGACCCAGCTGAAGCTCCAGGCTCCTGACTTCAAACTGACCCAGCTCCGGCCATTTCAGCCATTTAATAAGTGAACCAGTGAATGGAACATCTCTTTTTCTCTCTGTCTCTTCTTCTCTCTCTCTGTAAATCAATCTTTCAAATACAAATTAGTCTTTTCTTAAAAACCCAGAAATTAGATCATTCTTTGAAACATTACACTTTAAAAAAATAACCGAAGTTATTTAGAAATTTGGACAGCAGATTGTAATATGAGAAATGCATCTAAAAGTGATATCAGTAAAAATAACGATGAAAATGTTTTCCCCCAGAGTCTGCTAGCAAGTTAAATACACCTAGATGGGGGCTGAGCTGTCTTCGGGGTCTGGGAGTACCAGGACTTTCTGCAGTTTGACCGTATCACGCCTGTGGTTCTGACTGGATCTCATAGAACTGCAGCTGTCCTGAGGAACCGTGGGCAACATGCGATAAATGACACCCCCTTCCCCTGGCCACTCGGCAGGTACAGAACAAGCTGGATGGCTGCTGCTACGCGGTGAAGCGCATCCCCATCAACCCCGCCAGCAGGCACTTCCGCCGGATCAAGGGTGAAGTGACACTGCTGTCACGCCTGCACCATGAGAACATCGTACGCTACTACAACGCGTGGATCGAGCGGCATGAGCGGCCGGCTGGCCCAGGAACACCACCTGGGGACTCGGAGTCCCTGGCTCAGGACACGCGAGCGGCACGTGGGCAGGCAGCAGGTGACACGGACAGCCCAGACAGCGTGGAGGCCAACGCTCCACCACCCATCCTCACCAGCTCCGTGGAGTGGAGCACGTCGGGCGAGCGCTCAGCCAGTGCTCGCTTCCCAGCCACCGGCCCTGGCTCCAGCAGCGACGAAGAGGATGATGAGGAAGAGGACGAACACGACGGGGTCTTCTCCCAGTCCTTCCTGTAAGGGGCGCGGCGCCTGTCACAGCCCTCAGTGGGAGGGACACACGCGGGACCCCTCCTTTAATCCCCACCAAACCTGTGCTAAGCAGAGCAGGTTCATGTAGAAATCCAGTGGGACCTGGCAAAACAAACGCCATGGGATCCAAAGGACTTCCCCACTGCATTCAGCTCTCCAAAATCCAAGCCCTGTAGACAGCAACGGGAACAGTGACCCCTCATCTTAGTATATTGAAGAAGCTTTCTGTTAGGTCATTATTTCAGATAAGGGCTGCAGCTCTGTGGAACATTCCAGTTAACTCAGAGTCCTGATCCAGTGCCAGTTGCAGTCCCCAAAGTGCCAAATTTAGTCATTATGAGCCTAAACTTCAGGCATCTCAGAATCTACCCTGACCATGTACTTTCATGATTTTCTTTTTTTATTTTATCCAATTGAATATACTTTATCATGACTGTTTTCTTTTTTTTCTCAAGGAAAAATCTAGTTAAATTTTTTCTTAGGAATAGTGTGTTTTATAGCAAAGTACAAGTGAACATGATATTAACAACTATTGATTTTTTTTTTTTAGAATTTCAGCCATGATTTTGATTTCTTTAGTATTTCTCTATTTCTCTTTTTAAGGCCTGCTTCAGATTCTGAAAGTGATATTATCTTTGATAATGAGGATGAGAACAGCAAAAATCAGAATCAGGTAAATATATAACCAGCAGTTACAACATTTTATTCATCATGGAATGGATGTGTAAGAAAACTAACATCTGTTGTTATAAAGCTTGAGTAAAATAGTAAGGCCTTAATCGGATACGCAGATGTAGAAACGGCCTATTTTAAATCATGATCATTCATTTAAAATATACTCATATTTTTTATAGGTTTTTATCCTTCTACTTGTAGAAACAAGAAACAAAATGAGGCTTCATTTTGTGTGTGCAAAGAAAGCAGTTTCCAAAATAATGCTAGATTTTAAGTGGTTGGAGATGAGAATGGAATGAAAATTAACCAAGTGACTAAACAGTCTCATCATGAAGTTACCATAGAAAATCAATCTCACATCAACTCATCTCTGTTCCTTGTTTTCATACACCATCCCCTTGAACAGTGTTTTACCATGCTGTGTCATGAGCTTACCAGTGGTTCATGAAGTCAATTTTGCAGGCCACAGCTTTATCTGAAATGCTAAACATCTGAGTGAAGCATACTTAGAATAATGGTGAGCTTACCTGATGGAACTTGTCTCTCATGAGAATGTGTACTGAGCGTAATGAAAAAACTGTGGTTAAAAAAAAGTTGGAAAACCAGTCACTGCTCCGGGCTCCAGCCCCACTCGGCTCTGTGCCTCTCCCCATGTAGTTTGCAGAGCCCCTCTGTGCTGGCACCCGGAGCCCAGCGCGAGGCTTTCAGGCTGCCAGAGCTGTCGAAGCTTGCTGCAGAGAAGCGTTCTGCATCTGGGGATTGAATGTGGTGACTTTATTACCAGCAGTTACAGGGGTACATTCATAACAGATCTAGAAAAGTCTGCATGTAGGTTCTGCTAGCATAAGCAGTGAAACTGCAAAGAAGGTGTGAATGCATTTACTGATATGGGGTTTTTTGGTGTTTGCCTTATCAGTTACAATCACCTCATCTCCTTCCAGCTGAAATATATTAATTATAAATTTAATCAAAAATAATGTGAAGAATCTAAACTACTGCAAAGGCAAAATGTATGTTTGGTTTTAGTGTTAACTAGCATATTGTTATGGGAAATTGGCTTTGCTCAGTTAAGGGCAGCATCCTATGAGAACTCTGATTGATGGCTATGTGTCTCTAAGAGATGAGTAATTTTTATAAATCATCTCCAGAGAATACCAATGACTCAAGAGTAGAGCCTATTTATTTTCAAAAGAGGGCTTTTTCTCCCCCTTTGGTAACGGAAAAATGTTGGAAGATCCTTATTCAAAACACTAAATCACAAATACATGCTGCTGGTGCTTTTCCTGTACTTGAGGATAAAAGTACTAAATACACATATCAGTTGAAAGAATTGTTTTAAATAAATAACAAAAGACACTACATATAGGACAGAAAGCCAGCTGTCAGAGACAGACATCAGCTGTATGGAACAGCAGTACAGACGATCGGACTCCTAAGCACCTGTTGAGTGCTTCCTCTTCATCCCAGAGGTCACTGTGCATTGTGGTCACACTTAAACAGCCTCAGCTAAAGATGGTTACTAGTCATCTGCCTACAGGGAAAGCCAACCCCAAGGCTCTGCACTGCAGTGAAACTGAGGCCTATGGGATTAGCCTGGATACATGCTACCCTTCTGAGTAAGAAAGGCTGTCAATGCTAAGAAATCATGAACCCAGCAGGGAGCTTTCCAATGCATTGCACATCTCTGATACCTGCCTGCTCCTTGGCCATCATGGCTTCATGTAGCTGCAGAGCTGTGAAATCCACAGAGGACTCTGGGAACAGCAAATTAGCCTTGAAGTACTGCTCAGCGACCTCTCACTGGGGAGAGCTGATGGCCATGTCTGTGGGGAGTGGATACTTACTCGAGGGTGGTGAAATTTCACCTTTATTGGAACTCCTATGTGTTCCTGCTGGGTTAGGATGAAGACTGCAAGCAGAAGAATGGTGGCCGTGAAAGTGAGCTATCAGTAACAACTGAGGCTGTGCACTATCTGTATATCCAGGTAAGACCCTGTTGTGTGTATGGCTTGGTACATGTAACAACTCCCCTTCAAGCTGCTGGAACAAGACTGCACAAAAGAGGGAATGCTGGCTGTATTAGCTTTCTGTTACTTTAAAATTCCCAAAAGGAGCCTAAAATATTGAGGTTCATAGTTCAAAATCAAATGATACCCACCATTACATGGCATCTGGTAGAAGCTGCCAATAGTAGAGGTATAAAGGTGATCACCTTTATAAGGCAGCCAAGGAACACAAAGAGATGCCAGTCTGAACTCAGCTTAAGTAACCAACTCTCCTGGGATAACTGGCTTTTGCAGGCAGACCCCAGTACCCTAAAAACATCCCCAGGACCCCCCCTCCTAGCCACCATGATTTCATCAAGTCTTCACTCTTGTCCATCAACCTATAATTGTAATCCAAGAATCGTTAACATGAGACCTTGGGCTTTAAATGTCTGTACACTTTTGGGTGGCCAAGACCTGCTTCATGCATAATACTGGCATTTTCCAAAGGGAAACAGCCAGGGAGAATTACAGCAAGGAGATCCCTTTCCCCAGCCTTGAACTCCTACTCCTCACCCCCTCCCCACCAACCTTTCCAGAAGTGCTATAGAGCTGCTCCAGACCCCAGCTGTGTAAACTCACATCCTGGATCACCGGTCCCAGCTCTGTGAGCTGCAGCTTCCTCCGCATTCTGCAGCTCCATTTCCCCATCTATAAATTGACTAGTGGTGGCTGTCTCTAGACTTACGAAAGTAAATGAGGTCACGTGTGGAGTACATAGAACCACATTGGAGTTCTGTAAGTGCTGCATCGTGTGTGCAGAAACTTAACAAGCAGAATCAGGCTGTACCTAGAAGGTGTGATGTGCATACTTACCTACATGTGCAAAAGAAAAACCAACATGGCTGTAGGCTCTTCCAGGAACCTGTCGGAGACAGGAGCTGCAGGCACCCCAGTTCTAGTAAGGTATTACCTTGGCTTTAGGCTGCCCAGGCAGTTCATCCTATACAGTGGTGGATTCTGTCAACAGAGAGACAACTAGAGGTTAAAATAAAGGGCCTCCTCAAAGAGCCCATGTGAGGCCCCAGCTAAGACCTGGAGAATGAGTCAGAATTTGCTGGCATATTCTGAGCATGATAAAGTGCATAGTGCTGTTTAATTTGAAACAGTACATCATTCTTCTTAAGCAGTCTCAACTGTGGCACTGGTAGAAATGTGAACTAGCTGCCTAAGTCAAGTTCGCAGTGGTGTAAGATATAAATGATGTGTCAATATTTTCTGATTCATTGGTGCCCTCACAAAGAGGTGAAACAGAACCCATTCTGGAATGTGCTAATATTTACAACGTTTGCTGTAGACTTGAAGGTCATTTGTCTAATGGACAAATTAATCATCAGAATAATTAGCCCTTCCTGAAAATTTTGGTTTGGAACCAATCTTACAAAACAATAAATAAAATTTTACTGCAGTCTCAGTTTTTTCTCTTTAGAAAAAAATTTTTTCCCATTTTTAAAAAATGTTCTGACAGTCTCAGTTTTTTATGTTATTTGTGGTAAGGGGTTTAAATAAATCTGTTATTTTCATTTTAAAAAATTTTGTGTATTTCAAAAGCAGGATTACAGAGAGAAGGAGCAAGAGAGATCTTCCATCATCTGCTGGTTCACTCCCCACATGATCAGGCCAAATGCAGGAGATAGCAGCTTCATCCAAGTCTCCCATGTGGGTGGCAGACGCCCAAGTACTTGCACCATCCACTGCTTTTTTCAGGCCAGTAACAGGGAGCTAGATCAGAGAAACGGAGCAGCTGGGACGCAAACTGGTGCCCATATGATATGCCAGCATCACAGATGGCAGTTTAACTTTCTATGTTGTAAAACCAGCCCCAATAAATTATTTTTGTCATGAGCAATAATATAAAAAAAAATAGTTATGCTGGGTTACTAAAGTTACATACATTTATCCCTAATGTATTTTTAATATTATCGTATATTAGCATTATTATTAACAAATGTATATTGCCCTAAACACATATTTCAATACTGTTGGTTCCTTTTTTTTAGTATATGAAATTAAGTCTTTCCCAGAACTATTTAAAACTTGTGATATAAGTTTTTAAATTGATGATAATATTAATTGTAATCACCTTGTTTGGTGTAAGCGTTCTGCATAACCAGCTCCTGCCGGATTTGGTCTCATCCATAGATGGAGTACTGCGAAAAGAGCACTCTACGCGACACCATCGACCAGGGACTGTTCCGAGACACCACCAGACTCTGGAGGCTTTTCCGGGAGATCCTGGATGGGCTGGCTTATATCCATGAGAAAGTAAGCTCTGCAGCATTCCTATCTGAAAATTTGTATTCATGTAATTAATGACTGGAGAAGGAAGTCAGATACAGGAGTGGAGAGTAACCGAACTAGAAAACTCTGAATCAGTTGAGAAAGTCTATTTTTAAAGGAAATAGAACAAAATGTCCAATGACAAGAAACCAGGACAGCATATCAAGGTTCAGCAACAGCCTTGAGGGTTAGGACTGGAATCCACAAACTGTGGCCTGCAGGTCAAATTCAAACACTACCTGATTTTTTGTGGCCTGCCAGCTGAGAATGACTTTTTTGTTTGTTTGTTTGTTTGTTTGAGAATGGCTTTTGAGTAAGTGGAGGAAAGCAAGAGTGTCTTGGGCAGAAGAAATACCAGGAGAAAGGAATAACAGGAAGGAAGATGTGTCTGCATGACCAGATCAGAGAAATGTGATGGAGCAGTGGAGGGGCCTGGGATCCCCCAGGGAACCATTTGTCTTTGACATGATCAAGACCCATGACAGGTGGAGCTAGGAGACTGTTGGGGAGGAGCCATAGGAGAGCTGGGGGTTATTGAAGAGGCTGGTAGAAGCCCTAATCCAATTTTCATTTTTTAAAGATTGGCCTTTCAGATTCAGAAACAGGTGCACACTGTGTACTAGGTGTGGGAAACAATTGTTTCTTCACTCTCCCCACAGGGAATGATTCACCGGGATTTGAAGCCTGTCAACATATTTTTGGATTCTGATGACCATGTGAAAATAGGTGATTTTGGTTTGGCAACAGACCATCTAGCCTTTGCTGTGAGTATTTGGAAACTGGATGGTCCCTGAAAATGAGCCCAGGTGCTCTGGTAATCTTAACAGTGTTTGAACACCAGGCAGTGAGCTTACTGAGCATTGCTGTGTGAGCCTCAGGAGATTAAGCAAGGCTCAAGTTGGGGTATGCTGTAAATGATCCCAGGCTTTGAAATGGTAATTGTGTTCTGGTGCATGAATTCCACTTGAGGGACATTAAGTTAATGGTTTATGAACAACAGGTCAAAGGCATGCAATATTTTAAGAAATAATTCAATATTTGAGTCTGTATGCTGAACTGTATACTCACCTCTTGAAGTTCTTTTAGTTTAGCTATTGCGAAATGAGTCCCCAGATATAAGACACCCAGTGAACCAGTTCTAGACAACATAGAATTCAGAAGACGTCTGTTCTCCACATCGTGGAGTAGCTGCTTTGGTAACATACAAAGCTGATGAAGGTGAGGTGAGAGAAATCGTGACTGAAGAGAGGACAGGAAAACACTTGCATTCAGTTGTGAGGATCAAGAAAGGCTGTGTGTGAAGACGAAGGTGTTTCAGCTAGGCCTTGAAGGATGGGGAAAGAGTCCAGCAGGCCAGGATTGAGAAACGGGCAGGAGATTCCAGAGGAATCTCTGGAAGGGCAGAGAGAGGAAGGGCAGCATAAGCAGATGCCCTAGGGTGTGCGGGCATGGTTATTTGAAAGCCAGCATGTTACATGGTTTCCTAAAACTGGAAAGTGTGGGAGCATATGAGAGGAGGTTGGACACCTGTGTCAGAATCCCGGAAGCGAGAGTTCATGCGGCACCAAGGTCAGTGGGAAATGCAGATAATTCCAAGGTCAGACAGAAAGGAACCAGGACTTGGATTAGTGGCTAGAAGAGTAGGGGCTGGAATAGAAAATGGGTTTGAAAGAGTAAAGAGAGAGGAATTTGGAAAGTAGGAACAGTAAGGACATGGTCCCAGCCACATCAAGGGCAGGGTGTATCAAAGAATGCTGAGACCAATCCAGGGCCAAACATCAGGTGAGGACCCTGAGGTCCAGGTGAGATAACCTGATGGCTGGAAGGCTGTGGTATCTTGAGGCAAGTAAGAAAATGAGACCTGGAGCCCTGCAGACTACGCTGGACTCCCTGCTGCTGCCACAGCTTCAAGATGTAAGTTTGTGTAAGTTAGTTAATGGCTCAGCACCACCTCTGTAGAAAGTGCCCAGGGCCTACCTCAGAGTTGGCGTCAAAATAAACAGGGGAAGCTGAGGAACAGTGGCTGGCCTGGTGAATGTTGAGAGCAGTCATTGATGGTACTGCACATTAGGAAACCTAAGGAGGGAAGTCATGCCAGGAGGACTTAGGGTGGCACATGGCACAGTGCTGTCAGTAGATATGGTAAACAAGATGTAACCTGCTACATACAGCAGCAAGTGATGTTATGGCCCTGGGTCCAGCCTCCCTGACAGAGTAAACACTGACAGAGAGCAGCAGTACCAGGAGTGTGCTGAGAAGATGAATTTGCTGTGGTTGTTAATATCCTCTGCCTTTTCCTAGTGGGTGGGCTCTATCTGCCCTTGGCAGTATGAAAATGAACACGTCTCTGGAAGCTTTGGGGTATTCCTGTCCTAAAGCAAGACTTGCCTAATGAATTGCCCTTTTCCCCTTTGATTTTACTGTGCTTGCTATGAGCCTTGCACCAGTGAGCGAACTGAACCAAAAACTAATGTAGAATTCATAAATTTTTATAATTATTCTGTTTCCCATGTTTATTTTTTTCAGTCTTTCTTTAGCAATTAACAACTCATTCCTAGGGAATGATATAGCATTTTAACTCGGTGTTGGACTTAACTTGTACTTTTAGGCTGACAACAAGCAAGATGATCATTCTGACCATTTGATTAAATCCGACCCTTCGGGTAAGTGCGCTACAAAATCTCTTACCCTGAAACTTGTTTTTTGCTTGTAAAGATCTTATTCCAAAGCAAATTTTAATTATTAATTAAATTAACATTATGAAAATGCTTTTCATCCTTTTTGCTTTCTACCATATAAATTGTTCAAAACCCAAAGTCAGAACTTCAGCTGGAGGAGTAATTAGATCCCAGGGGCAGTCAGTTCTACTTGGTCTGACCCTGAGTAGGAATAGGAAGTTACCCTGTGACCTGGTCCATCTGGCACTGCCCTCCTCTGCAGCAGCCGAGACATCTGTGGTATGGACCTGAGTGTCAGCTAGACATGACTTACAGTTACCTGCTTGGTGCAGTGTGCACTCACTGCTTCTTCCTGGAAAGGGTGCAGGCAGCTGACAGATCATTCCTCAGCATTAAGAATCCCTTCTGTTAGTTCCACCTTATCTAGAAATTTCACTGTTGGAAAGCTTTCCTCTGTTCTCCTCCACACAGGTCACCTGACGGGCATGGTTGGCACTGCTCTGTATGTAAGCCCGGAAGTGCAAGGGAGCACCAAGTCTGCATACAACCAGGTATATGGCTTCCTCGGGCGGGGGGTGGGGAGGCAGAAGGCTCCACGGGTGAAGTAAGAGGATACCAAGACCACAGCTTCGGGGCCAACAATGTGGTACAGCATGTTATACCTCCACCTGCAGTGGCCCCCAGCCCCTAGGAAGCACCATCGTGGCTATTGGTGTGTTAGATTCCATGTTACCCAAGGGGTCCCACAGTGTTTGCCCTTCCTTCCATGCTAAGCTTATTGCCTTAGTATGCCAGCCTTCAGAGTCATCCACATGGTGATGACAGGATTAATTCCCTCCTCTCTCTTAAGGTTAAGTACTATTTTGTTGTATACACGCTGCTTGTACTTTATTCATTTTTCTGTTGATAGGTGCTGAGGCTGATTCCATGTCTTGGCTAGTAAGAAAAATGCTGCCATGACCATGGGCATGCAGATATCTCTTTGAGATAATGGTTTTCTTTCCTTTGGTTACACACAGAAGATTGCTGGATTGTGAGAGTCTCTGTTCATTTTTTGAGGCCTTGCCATACTTTTCCATAGTGGCTGTGCAAGTTTACATTCCTACTATCAGGGCACCAGAGTTCTCTTTATTACATTCTCATCACAATTTGTCATCTAAAACAGTCATCGTTACAGCGTGACAAGACAGCTCATAGTGGTTTGGAGTGTATTTCTCTGATTATGTAGAACATCTTTTTATTAGCTGTTGGCCATTTGAATATCTTCAGGAAAATAGCCATTCATGGGCCCGGTGTGGTAGCCTAGTGGCTTAACTTCTCGCCTTGCATGTGCTAGGATCCCATATGGTGCTAGTTCATATCCTAGGTGCTCCATTTCCCATCCAGCTCCCTGCTTGTGGCCTGAAAAAACAGTCGAAGATGGCCCAAGGTCTTGGGGCCCTGTACACATATGGGAGACCTGGGAGAAACTTTTGGTTCTTAGCTTTAGATCAGCTCATCTGTGACCATTGTGGCCACTTGGGGAGTAAACCAGCAGATGGAAGATCTCTCTGTCTCTCCTTACTGTAAATTTGGCTTTCCAATAAATAAAAATTCTTTAAAAAAAGAAAAGAAAAATTACCGTTCAGGTCCTTTGCCCAGTTTTGATTCTGTCAGTATTTTTGCTCTTGGGTTGTGTGAGCTCCTTACGCACTTGGGATATTAAGAGTTTGTCACACATGATTTCCAGCTAGGTTGCCGTTGAATTGTAAACGCTCTCTCAAGCTTTGCTAGGGTTATCCTTGCTCTCTCCCGCGTGCCGTTCTTTAATCTTCGCTGTAGAGCTTTGCCATCGATAGCTGGCCTTAGCAGAAGCTGCAGGTTTGAGTGTGTGTTTCACTTTCAGAATGATTCCTAACTGTGCAAAACAGAGCAAAGTCTTGTGACTGCTTTCAGTTGTCCTTGCATTTTTAACCATTGTTTCTTCAGCCAGCACTTATCTGTACCTGCGTATATAGCTAAGCTAGTTACAGTATTCAAGAGGAATATTGAGAGAAATCATGTCAAATATTCTGTCATCTTCTAAACCCAAGCTATTTCTTCTAGTTTTCCTACCATGATATTTTTAAACAGATCATCAAAATGTGTATAATGTGTCTTGTTTTGAACCTACATGAACTTTAGTCTAACAGTGATGTTATATAATTTTTTGATGTTATACTTTCATATCAAATATAATTATGATTCTCCCTAAATTTTTCTCCTCAGAAAGTGGATCTCTTCAGCCTGGGAATTATCTTCTTTGAGATGTCCTATCACCCCATGGTCACAGCCTCCGAACGGATCTTTGTCCTCAGCCAACTTAGAGATGTATGTATCAGAGATTTCTGGCCACTACTCTGCCTCTTACACCAAGATCAGGACATTTTTCTAAGAACTAAAAGATAAATTTATGGGGCTGGTATTGTAGCATACTAGATTAAATCACCAATTGCAGTGCTAACAAGCTAGCAATGTTTTTTGTTTGTTTGTTTGTTTATTTTTAAATTTATTTATTTTGGGGCCCAGCATGATAGCCTAGTTGTTAAATCCTTGCCTTGCAAGTGCTGGGATCCCCATATGGGCACCAGTTTGTATCCTAGGTGCTCCACTTCCCAGCCAGCTCCCTGCTTGTGGCCTGGGAAAGCAGTGGAGGATGGCCCAAGGCCTTGGGTTCCTGCACCCATGTGAGAGACCTGGAAGAAGCTCCTGGATCCTGGTTTTGAATCTGCTCAACTCTGGTGTTGTGGCCACCTGGGGAGTGAACCAGTGGATGAAAGTTCTTTCTCTCTGTCTCTCCTTCTCTCAGCATATCTGCCTTTCCAATAAAAAATAAAATAATTTTTTTAATTGGAAAGGCAGATCAAATTTATGAAAAAGAGAGATGGAGAAAGATCTTCTATCTGATGGTTTACTCCCCAAGTGACCACACGGTCAGAGCTGAGCAGACCCAAAACCAGGAGCTTCTTTTGGGTCTTCCACACGGGTGCAGAGTCCCAAGGCTTTGGGCCATCCTCCACTGCTTTCCCAGGCCACAAGCAGAGAGCTGGATGGGAAGTAGAGCACCCAAGACACAAACCAGTGCCTATATGGGATCCTGGCACTTGCATGGTGAGAATTTAGCTATTGAGCCATCATGCCAGGCCCAGGTTGACAATTTTTATCAGAGTCTTGGCTCCTCTGCTTCTGGTCCAGATCTCTACTAATATACTTGGAAACCAAGAGGCAAAGCAAGTCCTTGGGCTCCTCCCACCTGTGTGAGGGACCAGGATGAAATTCCTGGCTCCAGACTTTGGTGTGACCCAGACCTGGCTGTTACAGCCATTTGGAAAATGAGCCTGTTAGATTTCTCTGTCTCTCTTCTACTGTGTCATTCTGCCTTCCAAACAAACAATAAAATAAAACTTTTTTAAGAATACAAATTTATTTTATAAAAAAAAATTTTTGTGTAGAACCTGTAAGGGGATCTTCAGGAAGTTCATGGAAAAGCTGTATTATGAAAAAACTACAAGTGGATTTCAAATTTTTTGCATGTAATAAATTTATTTTTTAATTTCATTTTTCCATGAAATTTCCAAAGTACCCTCATATGGAAGAGGCTGTAGTTTCAGTAATTTATTTGCTAAGCCTTTCCAGAGTAACCAGTATTCCTATTTGCTGAGAAATATTTTTTGTAAAAAGGAATGGACCTGATGCAGTAATGCCTAAGGAAAAGTTTAGATGAGATAAAAAAAATTATCAGCCACTTGAATTTTTCTTCCAGTGAAATTTCCATTTGCGTTTTGGAATTAAGCATTGACTTCATTATTATCTTAGCTAAAAGGCACTAATCTTAAAATGGGCAGGGTCAAAAGTGTCCATTAAAAATGGCATTAAATTCATCCTAGGTGGCCAGGTGCTTGGGCCCTTGCCACCTAATCAGAAGATCCCGGGGGAGATTCCTAGTTCTGGTTTTGACCTGGACTGGCTCTGGCTGCTGTAGGTGTTCAAGGAATGAACCAAGGAGTGTAAGATTGTGTGTGTGTGTGTGTGTGTGTGTGTGTGTGTGTGTGTGTGTGTGTGTGTGTGTTGCTCTCCCTTTCAAGCTGATTTTAATGAATATAAACATTTTTTAAAGTGACATCAAAGTGTAAGGTTTGCATGAGAGTGATTTAAATGAGCATGAGGTCTGGTGTGCTGCTTGTTCCCTACTGAGCAGAGCAGGAGTACTGATGAAATTAGTCACAGACACTGTAGCTGAGAAGAATCCTCTAGAGACCTTGGAAGACTGTTGAGTTTATTTCCTGCCGTGCCAACACAGTAGCGACAGCTGTGTGCCTAAGTGAAGGAGTAGGATGATGGCCAGCGACTTGCCATGATTGGAATGCTCTCAGATAATTATGTCCTTGATGAAGTGCTAAAATTCATGTTTGTCCCCTCAAGTCAATAATATCTACGTAGCTAAGTTGATGTTGTTTTCAAGATCCTATTTACCAGAAAAGAGGTTTTAGTGTTAAACATCTTCCTTTTACTCTAGTGGGGGAGAGGGGATTCATTGGTATTTTTTAACCTCTTTTCATCTATGTGTTTAATGAAACTACTTTGTCTTTCTTGGAAACCATTAGATTCTTTTAAATCTTGGTCCTGAAATAAGGTGCTTCTATGACCTAGGTTGTCATTTGAGTGACATTTTAGTAAAATTGTATATCTAGGGATGTGACACAGCAGGTTTAACTCCACTTGTAATACCTGTGCCTGAATATTGGAGTAGCTGGGGTCAAGTCCTGCCACACTCCCAATCCAGCTTGCTGCTAATGCCTGCTGGAGGAGCCCACAGATGGTGTGCAAAGCACTTGGGTTCCTCCCAGGCAGGCATGTGAGGGACCTGGGCTGAGCTCTTGGTTCCTGGCCTGAATCTGTCTCAGACCCAGCTGTTGTGGGCAACTGGAAAGTGAGCCAGCAAATGGAAAGTGTCTCTTCTCATCTCCTTTCTCTCTTCCCTCTCTGTCTTTCAAATAAATAGAAAAAAAAAAAAACCTTAAAAAATGTACTTCTGTATTTGTTAAAATGAACATGCAGCTTAAAAAAAACAGTCACATTTTTCCTTGCTAGCTGTTTTCCATTACCATGTTTGATTTTCTTACGGGTTGTGAATTAATACTTTCACTGGGGCAGTCTGCCAAGCACTTGCTGATTTGGATGCAATATTCTTTCAGCCCACTTCGCCTAAATTTCCGGAAGACTTTGATGATGGAGAGCATGCAAAGCAGGTAATGTTCTGATGCTTTAATTACTGGGTTTTCAGTCTTGAGTTTTAATTACTGTTTTTCTTCTTTTTTTCAATTAGCAGTTTTCTGCCATTTACTTCTCTTGTGTCCTGGAAACAAAAGCCCTTAATATATTAGTAGGCTTGAAATACACCATACAAATGCCAATGGCTGATAGAGAAAATTAACAAACTTTGGAGTTCTATTGTGCTTTGTGAATTATTATTGGAAATCTTGTCTAAGCTGGTACGCGAGGAAAAGAAAAGAATGGTGTTCACAGGTCATTATTTCAGATGAGACATGGGACTTATCGGAAAAATACATGATTTACAAGTATAATTTTGTTGATCTTTGTGTTGAAGTAGCTGAGGCTGAGGGAGAAGTTGTGCCTCTTTCAGACAATGTAGTCTCTACTGTACTCCATAAATACCTCATCTGTGGGCTTGTGTATGTAACACATGTCTCAGGCTGCCTTTGGCATCCATCTGATGGCCTTTCTTCTTGGTTCTGCCAGATTGTCTTGGTGAAGCCTGCAAAAATGAATACTCCTGTCATAAGAAATTGTGTTCCTTAAACTGACTTTTACAGACAGTGATAATAAAGACAAAAACCCCTCATTTAAGTTACTAACACTGAGAACAGAAGCATGGATGTTGTATTAATGTGTTACTTCTTGCTTATTGGGTATTTCTCTGCATAAACACTTAACCTTCCTAAGCTCCAATTTTCTTCACCACTGAAATTAAGAGAATTAAGTACCCTTTGTTTACATCCATACTAAGGTTCTGTGATTTGGTGTTGAACATGACGTTTCTGTGTGGTTCTGTGGACTTATGCTGCCTTATCTAGGGGATTAGTGAACCCTGAGAAAATACTTAAGTCATGTTTCGGCATCTTTTGTTAGCTATCATTGTCTATTTGGACTGAGTCATTTTCTTTGTTTCTGGGTACCATAATGAAGTGTTCATTTCATAGCTTAGTCTCAGTTAGTGTCTCCTCATGTGGATAGCCACAGTGGCCCTGGAACTTGATGAAACTGCAAGCTCAAGTGAGAACCAACCTCCTGTCATCAGATAACTGCCAAGTGCTCTTGAACATCTAAGTTTGGGTTAAATAAAATTGTAACCAAAACAACAACAACGAAACCACAATCACTGCCTCCTCCTCACTTCATGATCAGTACCTTTTTTTTTTTTCTAGAAAAGGAGCAACACAGAAAATGCTGGTAGACTGTGTGTAATATACTTTTTGCTACATAAAGAGGTTTAACAGTATACTGGGGTCTTTTATCCTCAATAGGGCATTTTTGGTTTTGCTAATTTAATATAATTTTCCTAAAATTTGTCTCAGGTCAGTTCCCCTCCCACTTTTTTGAAATATAAACTCTTACATTATACAAACTGTAATTACCTGTGTTTCAATCCCAGCCTAAAACAGAAGAGAGAAGTTGGATATGAGACAGGAGGTGATCATTTTAAACACATGTAATTGGCGCTTTTCTGATCCAAAGTATTGCTCTAACTCCTTATAAATCTTTATTATAAACAAGGTGATTAAGAATAGTTAAGGAACCTTTCAAAGGTTTAGAATGCCCTGCAATGGTTCCCTGCCTAAATGAGTTCATGGCTGTAAAGATGAAACAAATGAGTTGCATACATCAGAATTCCTGAGAATCTAATCGTGCAATGGTAAAAATAATTAAAAGAAAAGTAAAGACATGTTTTAATTGCCTTAAGGATTCTAGCACTGTCACTTCCAGTAAAGGCTATTTGTTTGAAATATTTGCATAGGTCTCAAAAGCTATTTGCATATTTTCTGTATAGTACTTTGTGAGTGAGTTCTATGCAGTTGTTGAGATATGCAGTTGTTGTGACAGTGAAACATAAAAAGAGCTGCTTCCCCTGTTAAGAAGTATTCATATCACATTGCTGTGCAGCTCTGGCCAAAACAAAATAGAGGTGGGGAGTAGAGGGAGGAAATAATGACATACTCAGAGATTTCAAAAATCCCCATTGAAATGCCCCCTCTGAGGGCAGGAACTGCGATGTACCGTCTTAGACCTGATCTCCCCACCTTCCTTGTCAGAATTCCTGTGCATTCTCTGTCTCATCGACAGCGTGCCTGGCTTTCATTACAGAAATCTGTCATCTCCTGGCTGTTGAACCATGATCCAGCCAAGCGGCCCACAGCCATGGAGCTGCTCAAGAGCGAGCTGCTGCCTCCACCCCAGATGGAAGAGTCAGAGCTGCACGAAGTGCTGCATCACACGCTGGCCAACGTGGACGGGAAGGCCTACCGCACCATGATGGCCCAGATCTTCTCCCAGCGCATCTCCCCCGCCATCGACTACACCTACGACAGTGACATCCTCAAGGTGGGCTCGGGCCACACTTCCCAGAGAGAGCTGAACCCAGGCCACTGGGGAGTTAAGTCAGCTCCTTATTTCTCAGGGATTCTCTTAGTGGCTCCATTGTAAATCCCTGATCTGAGATCTGGGCAACCCCTAAAAGCACACAAGAGATACGTACCAGCAGCCATATCCTGGGCAGGAGTGCCATACTTTTAATCACTTCTTGTAGTTCTTGGTCCATCCCATTCTGTACCCACACAGCAATGTGCTTAGAGCCAAGTCCCTGGCTCAGCTGCTCAGAATGACCAACATCCAGCTAGCTCAGATCCAGCAGTGGAATAGCCCCCAGTGCCAACTGCACGGCTAGATCCTCTGGCAACTCTCTTACATGCACATGCCAGGGCCCTGTAGCTAGTGGCTTAGAATCTCCAGAGAGGAAACACTTCCAAAATCTCAAGTTTCTGAGGTGCAGCCAAGTTGTCAGTTTGGGGAGCCATGTTCATTCTATAAAAAGAGAGAGAGAGAAGAGAAAAGAGGGGGAAAAAAGAGAAGTCTGAATCAAAACAACAAAATCTTAAAATTTGACAAAGTTGGGTAGTTTTTGCTCTATTGCCTGTGTGTTTCCATATGCTTAGAATATGAGTCTAAAATATAGTAGAGGAAATAGTGGCAAAAGCTGTGGAAGACCAGTAGAGATGTTAAGGACCAAACTAATATTGCTGGCTGGCAATATTAGAAAGATGTTTGAAAGTGCATAGGTAACTTTCATTTTTGTTCTCTGCTGTTTTTAAATGTTCTATGATGACATGGTACTACTCTTGACGAAGTGTATACATACCACCTGACTGCCAGCAGGAGCTATAGGAGGGACCCTGGTGCCTCACTCTGTCCCCGCAAGTCTCTGAAGGGGAAGGGAGACGCCGTATATTTGTTAACTCTTGAAAAGGAACATGCGAGTGCCGTTAAGAGCCAGGGCTTTGCAGCCAGGTGGCCTCCCTTTGCTGGAAAGGTTAGCTCATGCAGTCTGCAGCAGTACATACCACAGGGCGTGCAGACTGCCCTGAATACGATCAGAGGGAGAATTTCTTATGGAGTCACCATTGTGCTGAACCATGAAAATGAGCAAGCAGGTGCAAACTGCAAGCCACGGATAAATGTGTTAGGGGCTATCTCTCATTAGCCCTTAATGATGACATGTCAATTGGTCCTATTTTAGGGTAACTTCTCCATCCGCACAGCCAAGATCCAGCAACATGTATGTGAGACCATCATCCGCATCTTTAAAAGACATGGTATGTTCTTTTTAGAAATCAGGTCTCTTCCCTTTGAGCTGTTTTCATCTTTAGGAAAATAAAGGACTTGGGTACAACCCTACTTTAACATGCATCCCAGGCAGTTGACATCATGTGAAATTTCAACTTATTTTGATGGCTTATCTTGTTGAAAAGAAACTGATATGGATCATTACAACTTTGCCACTAACATTGACAAAGTCCTAGAAGAGCTATCCATTGTAAATTTAGAGCTTTAGAGCAAAACTGCTCCTGATTTTAACCTTCCCCACAGCAGATGGCTTATCTCACTTTGCATTGCCGCCTAGGAAGATGTGCTTAGTTATTTTTTCTGATTTGGCGCAGGAGCTGTCCAGTTGTGCACCCCACTGCTGCTCCCCAGAAACAGGCAAATATATGAGCACAATGAAGCTGCCTTATTCATGGACCACAGCGGGATGCTGGTGATGCTGCCCTACGACCTACGGGTGAGCTGGGGACACTCTACTACCAGTCAAAGGCTTTAGGCTTGTGATCTCTCACCTTCTGGAAATGTATCATTAAAGGAATTACCAAGGTAAAAGCATTGTTGGGATTTAGTAAGTGCATCAATCCTCCTTGATAGTACTACAAATGTTTTTGGCTCAAGAAATAAGAACCCTGCATTACAGGTGCCAAATGTGCACCTCATGTTGCGTTCCACCAAGTGACCAAAGCAAGTTAACCTGGACAGCTCAAACAAATCAACTTAATGGAGTTTACAGATTGAGATTGATTTGTTCTTTTTTATTTCCTGGCTAGATATTCAGTAACGTCTAATACATTAGCCTCTAAAACAAGTAAATTCTTTTTATAAAGAGATTTATTTATATGGCATAGTTACAGAGAGAGTGAGAGATCTATCTGGTGGTTCACTCCCCAGGTGGCCACAATGGCCAGTGTCAGCCCTGAACCAGGCTGAAGCCGGAAGCTGGGAGCTTGTGTGTAATTCTCACATTCAAGTAAAATAAATAAATCCTAAAAAAAAAAAAAAAAGATAAGGGGGTAAATTTGTAGTAGGACATATTTCAATAAAGCTATTAAAAGAGAGGAGTGTGGTAGCTGGCACTTCTTGACATTTACCTTTACAACTTTTTTTTTAGGTCCCTTTTGCAAGATATGTGGCAAGAAATAACATACTGAATTTAAAACGGTAAGAATCAGCAGAGAGCTTCATTTACTGGTAGACACAAGAAAGGAACCAAGGAAGGATGTTCATCTCCCATGATCCTTACACATTGAAGGATTCTGGGTTCAAAATACTGAGTTTAGAGTGTGGTCCAAAAACCTAGCCACAGTACCCTCTTTGTAAAGTGGATGGGGTCTGCTGGCCTTATCAGCCAGGAGATGGCTGTGATGTCCCTGAAGCCTCTCCTGTACCTTCCACGTGTGCCACGGCAGCATCACGAATTATTGTCCCAAAGGATTGCTTAAAAAAAAAAAAAATCTGGCTGTTCTTGCTCTTAAAATTGAATGGCTTCTTAAAACTGAACAGGAAGGACAAACAGCCAAGGGTCTGTGTGTGAAAACTGCGCACACAGGTAACAGAGCAAGCAGAAGCTGTTTGCAGGGTGGGGGGAAAGAAAGAAACCCAGCAGGACTGCTGACGGCAGAGGAGCTCCAGGCACGTGGCCCTGGGTGAAGAATCTCTATGATTCCAATGCCACAGGGGTCAGCCACTTTAAAGCTACTTTCTTCAAATAAAATCCAGGCTGTTTACATGCTTTTGCTGTGGCTTAAGCGAACCATTGACAGTCATTGTCGAAGCTGCAGGTATCCCTGTGTAAAACAAAACAAAACAAAAATCACCTAAGGTAAAATTATTTGTTGAGTATAATTTCACCACTTCTCCTGTTTCAGATATTAAGAAACAAAACAAAAACCTGTGTCCCATAGTTTAATAGCGGCAAACTTGGATCACAGGACAAGATCAGTCTGGGGCAGATCTGTCTCTAAGCTTTCTTGATCATACCATGGATTGATCTTTTTATATTCATTTCTTTTATCTTAACATTTCCTCATACAAATTGATTTCCAGTAACCTTAGAAATCTGCATTTCTCTCTGCAGATATTGCATAGAACGTGTATTCAGACCTCGCAAGTTAGATCGATTTCATCCCAAAGAACTTCTAGAATGTGCATTTGACATCGTCACTTCCACCACCAACAGCTCCCTGCCCACTGCTGAAATCATCTATACCATCTATGAAATCATCCAGGAGTTTCCAGCCCTTCAGGTTCCTTTCCCTGCTAGGGGGTCCCTCTCCAGGTGTGGCAGACAGGATCATGCCTACGACCTGCTCCTCGGGTCATGCTGGCCACAAGTCCAGTTCCTACTCCCTTAACTGGAAAGCATTTGACCCTGTGGCTTGGGACCTCACTATTGGCTTCTACTTCTCCCTTCATGAACAGACTTTGTTTGGAGGGACAACGTGCTGTTTCTGTGTCAGTGTTTCCCAAATTTGCAAGAAATCAGGCTAACATTTCTAGGATGCTGTGGCTTGTTCACATGTTGTACAAAATCCTTGGGGTTCACCATCCCATATATGCAGTCTCCTCAACTGCCCACCTTCCCTGTTCTCCAGGCTTGCTTGCTCCCTTGGCAGTGCTCCCCAAGCCTTGCCCTAACCTTTGTGGTCCTCCTGCCACCATCAGTCAGAACTCATCAATGAAGCCTGGCTGCTCCCGCTCTGATCGGCCAACTGCCTTTTCTCCCTGCCTCTCTCAGCTCTTGATCTGAGATAGCTACATAGCACCTGTGGTTGTGCCAGTTGTTCTTGCCAGACACACAGTGTGCCGCTTCAGGGCAAAGCCCAGAACCTACCTGTCCCTGTTCCCCACTGTAGCCAGCTCAGCCCCAGCTCACTGCTCCGCAGGTGCTTGTTAGCTAACTCAGGCAGACAGGAAACAGTGACTATTCCACCAGCCTGTGCTTATAAATTGGTAACTTCTGAACCAGGTCCTTCCCAACTTGAATATTCTATGTGAGCATGCTCAGGCTCCTTGACACAGTTAAAGATTAGCCTGAGGATTTGAAATACAAATAATAAAGCAGTAATTACATTATACTCCTTAGCTGCAACCCTATATGAAGCATAGGTGTGAAAAACAAATAGGTGTGGTAAATTGTTAAGAGCATGTGCCTATATTACTTTTTAAGGAAAACAGAAACTTTTTTTTTGTCTATACCCTAGGAAAGAAACTACAGTATTTACTTGAATCATACCATGCTGCTGAAAGCAATACTGTTACACTGTGGAATCCCAGAAGATAAACTCAGTCAAGTCTATGTTATTCTATATGATGCTGTGGTAAGCACCTAAGTACTTTGACTTGATAAGTGTTTCTGATTATTTCCTCATTGTTGCAACCATAAACTGAACTGGGAATTCTATCTCTTTCTTTACTTTCTTTACTTACTGTAAGGGAAAAGAACCAATTGGCTCTAATCGTATCAGTAGTTAAGGAGTTTTGGTTGAACCTACTTCTTCATTAACCCCCCACCGTCCCCCTGTACTACTTGTCACCTCCAGGGTGTGTTAAAGATTACTTCTGATTTTTTTTTTGTAAGATGTTTTTGCTTTTATTTGAAATGCAAATTTTTACAGAGGGGAGTCTTCCCATCTGCTGGTTCACTTTCCAAATGGCCACAACAGCCAGAGCAGAATCAATCCAAAGCCAGGAGCCAGGGGCCAAGAGCTTCCTCCAGATCTCCCATGTGGGTGTGCAGGGTCCCAAGGCTTTGGACCATCCTCTACTGCTTTTTAAGGCCACGAGCAGGGAGCTGGATGGAAGGTGGAACATTCAGGACGTGAACCAGCACCTACTCGGGATGCCAGCACTTGCAGGGAAATTTACAGAGATAAGGAGAGAGACAAACAGACAGACACTGATTTTCCATCTTCTGGTTCACTCGCCAAATGGCTGCAAGGCCACAGCTAAGCTGATATGAAGCCAGGAGCCAGGAGCTTCTTTTGGGTCTCCACACGGCTGCAGGAGCCCAAGGACTTGAGCCATCCTCTGCTGCTTTCCCCTGCCATAAGCTGGGCTGGGGAATGGAGGAGGAGCTGGCTGAGAAATGGAGGAATTGTGACGGGATACTGGTATTGCAGGCAAAGGATTAGCTTGCTATACCACCATACTGGCCCCAACTTCTGATTTTAAAATATCAAATCACCGGCCAGTGCAATAGTTCAGTTGCTAACTCCTTGCCTTACAAGTGCCAGGATCTCATATGGGTGCCAGTTCGTGTCCCAGCTGTTCCACTTCCCATCCAGCTCCCTGCTTGTGGCCTGGGAAACCAAAGCCTTGGGACCCTGCACCCATGAGGGAAACCTGGAGGAAGAACTTCTTGGCTCCTGGCTTTGGATTGGCTCAGCTCCAGTCATTGCAGCCACTTAGGGAGTTAACCAATGGACAGATCTTTTTCTCTATATTTCTTTGTTGCTATAAATTTTCCTTTCCAATAAAAATAAATAAATCTATAAATCTAAAAAAGCAACTATCAAATTACCTTGTCTAATGTTAAATATTAAAGTTCTTTCACAACTCTGCTTCTTGAGGCAAGAAATCACTTAAGAAAACGGTCCTGATGGCTGTGCTTGGCACCTATCCATGTGCCTTGCGTTGTAAGTTCTTTATGTGGTTGACTCACTTAGTCCTCACAACAGCATCCCTGCTTTACAGAAGTGGATTAGAGAGTGTTAATTTTGAGAATAAAAGATTATGCACTGCACTGAATTCTTACCACCTGCCTATGCTTACCAGTAAAGTCATGATAAATGTGCACTGATTTATTCCGGGGAAGAGCAGCTCAACCTTGTGGTGGGACCTCACCACCTCTTTTCTGTGGAACAGGGTTGGGATGTCTCCAGTTGGCTTAACCAGGCCACAGTACAACTATTACATTCTAAGTGTATGTAGACACAGAACCTGTTGTGGAAGCACTGAGAAAATAGATTAATGCTATATTATGGAGCTAGGTGGAGCTAAACACTAATCTTTTCTAATTTCTTTTCCCCTTAAATTTTATTGTCATGATAACTAAGAGGCACCTTAGTAATCACCAATGCTCAGGGGCAGAGTGAGCAGTGGAAGTCCATTATGCCTTGTTCTTTATGCCCTGAAAGGCTTAACAAGGTGTCGCTTTCACCTGGTGGCTACACATCAAGGGCACAGACTTTACCATTTGTTTCTCAGTGGTTCTCTCCTTCCCCAAGAGAGCTGCCACTATGTGGCAGTGACAGATCCAGTGTCATGTCAGCCAGCCAGCCGCTGGCAGAAGCCCCAGGGATGGTACAGGGGGCTCTTTGCTGCTTGTGTCCCCTGGCTGCAGCCCATCTGCCATCGTGGGAGGAGCTGCTCAGGGACTAGCTTTTATGTTACTAGCAGGACACAGATCAAACCGACTCCACAGCCACCCAACAGAGATGCCCACAGTAAGTCTCTTCTGATCCAAGCCTCCTCACCATTCAGCAAGGAAAACTTTCCTCTCTGTAATTCTCTGATGTCAGAGTTTCCCTCACAGATAGTATTGATGATGATTTTATGTGAATGGGAAGTGGGGGGCGGGCTTTTAAGTCACAGATTTCAATCTCTGCCTTCCAATTAGGAGCAGGTGGTCTAAAAGAAAGGCTGCCAAGGGTGAGATCAGCCAACGCAGTGACTTTCACTGCTGCCTTTTCCTTCTGCCCTAGACGGAGAAGCTGACGAGGAGAGAAGTGGAAGCTAAATTTTGTAATCTGTCTTTGTCCTCGAACAGTGTAAGTACTGCCTGATGGTACAACCGCAGCCATCCCTGCGATTCTGTGGTATCAGAAAATGTCACCACATCCAGCTGCAGGAAAGTGGCACACTGCCACCACCCCACAGGCATGGTGTTCTCCACCAACCCCTCAGGGTTGGTACAATGGCAGCCCCTGGGATCAGGACAGAGAAAAACCAACACAGAAATCAAAGAGGGTCTCTCGTGTTTCTGGAGGCTCCACAGCGCACTGATCCCTCCCAACCACTCGATACTTACCTGGCCTTCTCACCCTCATGAAGCCAGGGCTTGCCAGGGTCTCCTACAGAGCAGATCCAGTGCTACAAGGAACTCTGTGGATGCCGCCCCCTCCCCGGCCCTCACCCTTGGATCGTCTAGCTCCTCTTACTTGTCTGGGACAGTCCTGCCCCTAACACTCTGTTGATCCCATTGGCAGTTAAGAAAGTCCCTGGTAGACAGATGGGTCATGTCCCCTTCACAAGTACCAGCATGCTCCCAGCTCTCTGGCATAGTAACCCAACATAACAAAGCAGAGGACAGCAGGAAGTTCCTACATTTTCCTGACTATTTATGTGAGAAGAGAGGCATTGGATTTGCCAGAATCCTTCCTGGACCCTATCCACTGACCCTTGATTACATGATCTTGTGGTGATCAGCCAACACCCATGTGTGGTCACACACAGGCCTGGTGGACTCTTTGTCATTTGGACACTCGCAGTATGGCAGGCATAATGCACTGGCTGTAAGAAGAAGTAAATTGGGGAGTCCACAGATAACATGAGCTTCTTTATTCTTTATTGGTCTTACAATAAAGAAATTATAAAGAAAAAAATCCTTACACAGGGTTCTGCACACAGATATATACTTATACCTGCCCTCAACTCATTAAAACAACTTTCACTGGGGACGTGTCCACCACAGCCTTAAAAGGTTACCCACCTGCAGATAAAGTAAGCCAGGTACATAACTAGGATTTTCCAAAACTGAGCCAGGTTAAATCTTAAATACTTAGGACTATGCATGATATCAGATCTAAAGGGTGATATTTACCAATACTGTGTGCAGAAATAGTGCCACATGGAACTAGTGCAAAGAATCCCTTGTGACAGTGTCAGATTCAGCGGGTTCAAGCCCAAAAGGTTCTTTGAACTAAAATCACACATTTCAGAAAGTCCCACGGGCATCCCACACTTGTACGTGGTTGCTGCACTGACAGCTAAAATATTAACCTCTTTCTGTGGAGCTTTTCCCTCCTGCCCACTTTACCATGCTAAGGATGAGTGAGAAGTTAAACATGTGGTTGGTTTAAAATGGAAAAATAATACCTAATAAAGGCATTGGTATTAAGATTTATTTGTTTATTTGAAAGGCAGCTATGATAGAAAGGGAGAGACAGAGAGAGATCTTCCATCTACTGGTTTACTCCCCAAGTGGCTGCAAGGACCAGGGTTGTGCCAGGTATGAAATACATTAGCATTGAGGTGTATTGGAAGTGGAGCAGCTGGGACCCAAACCTGTTCTCATAAGGGACACCAGTGTCACAGGCAGTGACTTAATCCACTGTGCCACAATGCAGCCCCCAGATTTTTATTCTTAACACAGTAAATAGATTATAGAAGATGTTAATACTATTGGGTTTTTGTTAAATAAAAATAATTTAAAGATTAAATATTATGTTAAGCTGAGTTTTCAATCAACCATTAATTTTAGTGTGCTAATTTATAGATGAACCAAGTTCTGCTTGCATACCATCTTATAATAGCTATTGTTGGGGGCCCAGCACCATGGCAGAGCAGGCTATGCCCTGGCCTGCAATGTCAGCATCCCATATGGATGCCAGTTTGAGTCCTAGCCATTCCACCTCTGTTCCTATTCCCTGCTAATGGCCAGGGAAAGCAGCAGAAGATGGCCAAAGTCCGTGGGCCCCTGCACCCACATGGAAGACCCAGGAGCTCCTGGCTCCTGGCTTCGGACTGACCCAGGTCTGTGTTTGGCAGCCACTGGGGAATGAATCAGTGAGTAGAAGCTCTCTCTATGAATCTGTCTTTCCAATTAAAAAAAAAAAAATAAGTAAACAAATGTTTCTTAGTATTATTTTGCCTAGTAATTTTCACTGTAGCTCCTGAATTTTCTTCCTGACTGTATGATCCAGCTCTGCTCTGACTCCTGCTCTTTACCAGGGACCACGTCTGACCACAGCGGGTCACTTCTAGCCACTGCCCTCTGCAGGACACCCAGTGAGCACTGCAGAGGAGACCTGGACCAGAACTCTGGGTCTGCAGCCAGAGAGCTGCCTGTAGGAGGCAGCAGCCCAAGGCTGGTAGGAGAGACAGCGTGATAAAGAGGAATGCTACGGGCCTGCAGAGTCAGCGCTGAGGCTGCTGGAGCTCACAACATCTGTGCTGGATGTCTCCACAGCACTTCTGCAAGGTGTTTTAGAGCTATGTGCAGGACAGAGCTAATCCCTCCGATGCGGCAAAGGCTCAACTCACCTTTGACCATGCAATCCTGCTTCTGGAAGGGCCCGTGTTGTGCCTGTGCCCCTCTGTGTGTAAAGCACACGAGGGCCGAGAGCCTGCCTTCTGTGCAGGGGAGCAGCCGCTGACCACCGTACCTTGTGCTTTCCAGCTGTGTCGACTCTACAAGTTTATTGAGCAGAAGGGAGACTTGCAAGACCTAACGCCCACAGTAAACTCCCTAATCAAACAGAAGACAGGAGTGTCCCAGTTGGTAAAATACGGCTTAAAAGATCTGGAAGAGGTCGTCGGGCTGCTGAAGAAGCTCGGTGTGAAGTTACAGGTTTGACAGCTCTTGGACCCTGGCTGGAGTGGAGAGGGAGATGGGTTTTATTTCCTGGAGGTTAGGAAGTGTTTGGTTTTCCAGAAACAGCCCTTTCTCCATGTGGGGCATTTGACTATGTAGTAGTAACCAGGTCTGGAATGAGGACTGATCTGCAAGCACAGCCACTCCTAGTGCAGTAGTTCTTGCGGGGTCAGCCTGGGAGAGGGTGTCACCGCGGAGGGCAGCAGAGCTCGCTCGCTCACTCGGCAGGCTGCAGTTGAGCCAACCATGGGGCAGGAGCCAACTGATGTTTCTGCTGATGCTGCAACCTTGTGGCCCACATTCCAGACCCCAAGCACTCAACATGCTGCTGTGGCATTTCCCTCCTCAGGTGCTGATCAACCTGGGCCTGGTCTACAAGGTGCAGCAGCACAACGGAATCATCTTCCAGTTTGTGGCATTCATCAGACGAAGGCAGAGGGCTGTCCCTGAAATCCTCGCTGCTGGCGGCAGATACGACCTGCTGGTGAGGGCCCACCCCGCGGCCAGTGGGTCTGGTTTGATTTTGTGTCTTCCACAGTTTATTTTGAAATTTCTCAAACACATATACACACACACTGAGCCAGTAGTACAGCTGACCACTTCTGTATATTTTCAGCAAGAAACAGAAGTATAATGTGAACCACATTTGTCATTTTTTAAGCATAAATAATCAGGGTTAGGTATTGTGGCATTTAGGATATGCCCAGATGACCTGTCACAGTGCTGGGTTCAAGTCGTGCCCTCCCCCCCACTTCTGATCTAGCTTCCTCCTGATGTACCTGGGAAGGCAGCAAATGACAGCCCAATTCCTTAGCTTCCTGCCACCCACGTGGGAGAGCCAGACAGAATTCCTGTCTGCTGGCTTTGGCCAGCCCTGCCTGTTAAAGACCATTTGGGGAATAACTCAGTGGGTGAAGATCTCCCTCACTCTGTTTCTGTCTCTTTCTGGCATTCTGCTTTTAAATAAATATACATTTTTTAAGAGAGGGAAAAAAAATGATAGGTTTCAGGAAATACCAAAGATAGTACAAAAATCTCCTCTACCTGTTCCCAGTTTCTTAAGGTAATGCTAGGAACATATTAAAAATGGGAGAGTGACATTGATACAGTGTATGTGTGTAGTTCTGTGTCATCTTAGCATACATGTGGTTTCCCATAACCACGGCCACGTGATCAGGACGGTGCCCAGAGCTGTGCTGGGACCCACAGCGGGCCAGTTCTGATGACGCAGACCCTACTGCACCCTTGGGTCGCTTCGCCCCCAACCCCATTATAACAAACTTGTTATCAGTCATCCCACTCCAGAGTGGTAAATTTCATGTTGACTGTCAAACACTATCTGGAGAATTCAAGATGAGAAGTCCTTTGTGTTTATCCAAAAGTTCTGGTTTCTCATGGGAAATACAGTTATTGGAAATCCATTTCCTCTGTGCAAAGGTGTTTCTCATTTGATGTTTTTGAGAATTTCTTTGCTTTTTCCTTTGAAATTAAAGTATGGTGTGTCTTGGCCTTAATCTCTTTGCATTTGTGCTGTTTGGGGTTTGCTTCCTTCTTCTCTTTAATTATAGGTTTCTGTCATTTGCCAGTCTTGGGAATTTTTTAGGTGTTATTTCTTTTTTTTTTTTTAAGATTTATTTATTATTTTTATTGAAAGGCAGATATACAGAGAGGAGGAGAGACAGAGGAAGATCTTCCATCTGATGTTTCACTCCCCAAATGACCGCAACGCCTGGGGCTGAGCCAATCCAAAACCAGGAGCCAGGAGCTCCTCCGGGTCTCCCACATGGGTACAGGGTCCCAAGGCTTTGAGCCATCCTCAACTGCTTTCCCAGGCCACAAGCAGGGAGCTGGATGGGAAGCAGGGGTGCTGGGAATTAGAACCGGTGACCATATGGGATCCCGGGCATACAAGGCAAGGACCTTAACCACTACACTATTGCACCAGGCCCTTAGGTGTTATTTCACACTCACTTTTTTCCTATCCCTCCGCACTCCCGTGACTTGACACTGCGATGTCCCTGAGCTTCTGAGCCCTTTTGCTCCACAGTCTGTCTTCTGTGTCATTCACATCATGTCGTTCCAATTGCCATGTCTTCAGTTTTACTCATTGTTTACTCTTATTGCCATTCTGCCGTGATACCCATCCAGTGAGTGATTTATTCAATCTGCTATTCCTTTGTGAAGAACATTCCTTTTTTTTTTTTTAACTTGCCCCAAGCCTGGATGTAGCGCCTGTTGAGGTTGCTGCAAAACCCCCCTCAGCTTGCTCTGTGTGAGCCCTCTGTGTGGGGCTCTGTCGGGTCCCTTTCTCATTCATGTGCAGATCTGCTGTGTTCTTGGCACAACGCACGGTTTTCAGTTGTATCCTGGACACTTGTGCTGTTGTGTTTTGAGATGTGAACCCTGTTTACTTCCGCTTTAGCAGGCTCCTCTGGTCCCACACCCCTGTGGGCAGGAGCATGAAGGGGTGCAGCCTTGCTGCTGTCAGATGGAGGTGAAGGTCCAGGTTCCTCACTCTGCCTGCCATGGGGCCCTCAGGGTGAAAGGGCTACCTGGTTACCCCTTCCACCTGTTTCCTCCACTTTCCCCTCTCCATTTCATAACCAGAGTGTTTGTCTCTCCACAGATTCCCCAGTTTAGAGGACCGCAAGCCCTGGGGCCAGTGCCCACTGCCATCGGGGTCAGCATAGCCATTGACAAGATATGTGCTGCTGTCCTCAATGTGGAGGAGCCCGTAAGTTCCAGCTGTGCCTGCCGGGGGCTTTGAGAAACATTCTGCAAGTATGGCTTGTCTTTTGTGGTCATTTACATGGAGCCCCAGAAGTAGCAGCACAGACTAAGGTTTGGCAATGATTAGCCATGTGATCAGCGAGCCCCTGGCTTACACTTCAGTCCGCCCCGTGCTCTGTAGCTGCACCGTCCTGGATGGTTCGCCCTTTCCCAGCCTGGCTGCTGGCGTCTGTGTGGCCTGCAGTGTACTGTGCAATTGTGAGATGTTTTCATTGTTGGCAGATTCTCATGCCGGCTCCTCACTCGGAAAGCCTGCTATGGTCTACAGAACTAAAAACCCATGTTTTGCCTCTAGTGTTTCGGGCACGAATAGCTTTTCCAGAGGAGAATATCTTCTTGCTAGTTCAGAGAAGTTGAAATAGTTTCCATCTCAAAAGACCAGAGGAGCTTTTTGACTGTGCTTTTTTTTCAAACTGTCATTTTGAAACAAAGCCTTCTTGCATGTTGTGTTGCCACGATTACCTGTCTGCCCATGAATGCTGCTGCCCTACCAACCCACAGCCACACCCTCCACCTCCGCCTCTCAGGGTACTCACTCTGTTTGTGACGCAGGCTACAACAAGCTCTTGCGACCTCCTGGTTGTCAGTGTTGGCCAGATGTCCATGTCGAGGGCCATCAACCTGACCCAGAAACTCTGGGCAGCAGGAATCGCAGCAGAGATCATGTACGACTGGTCACAGGTAAGGGGACGGTGTGCTGTGAGTGAGGTGAGAGTGGTGGGGACCTCCAGGTGAAATCCTCCTGTTGCCTCTGCGTTGTCACACTTTCTTTATCTCTGTCATTGGAGTTGCTTCCAGTATGAGTTGCTGATTGCTGCAATAACAAATAGCACACACTTAGTAACTTCAAACAACACATTTAGTAGTAGCCCTTTGTATCCAAGTGGGGACTGGTTCTAGGACCACACCAAGTATCAAAATCCATGGATGCTCAAGTTTCTTTTATAAAATGGCCAAGTGTTTGCAATTTATCCTGCACATCCTCCTGCATGCTTTAAATCATCCCTCCTTCCTGTGTTGCACACGTCACCTGCCAAGAGGTTTCTGTCGCTGCTGCTACCCAGCGTGCGTGTGATTCATCAGAACCAAATCCAAATCACTGAGCATCCGTTCTTATTCCTCTGGTAGAGCCATGATGCTCCTGCCTGTTCAGCAGCCTCTCGGACAGTTAGAGAGGCGCGCTGTCCTGCAGGTCTGGGAAGCCCCGCTGCCACTGACTGGGCAGCCCCAGCAAGTGCCGCCAGTCCGGTGCTCGGCTGCTGACCTGCTGTCTATCTTCCACCAGCTTGTTTCCCTTGCCTTGCACTGTGTGTGTGTGTGTGTTATAATTCTTTGCAACTTCACTAAGACATGCAGTTTTTGAGATCCTCTTGCTACATTCCTCACCACTTTTGTCCTCAGCCCTTAAAACCATCGTGAAAATAAAGAAAGGAAAACAGACACTGCTTCCCCCTTTGAACACTGTGCTCCTGGCTGACAGTCATACCCCAGGAAGACAGCGTATTTATGCTCTGTTAAAATCCAGATCTTCGTTACCCATAGTTACCTGAAGCTGCCCCAGGTGCTGTCTGTTCATTGTATGCACTGCTCATTGGTTTCAGTCCCAAGAGGAACTACAGGAGTACTGCAGACATCACGAAATCACCTATGTGGCACTTGTCTCTGATAAAGAAGGCAGTCATGTCAAGGTAAGGTTCTGGCGCGCTTCTCACAACCCACGAGGTTGACCACAGGTGGGCATGGATGGCCTTCAGTGCAGCCGCAGGCTTCCTCCCAGTCACTGTGTGGAGGCAGGAAGGCAGAAAGGCAGGAAGGCAGGAAGGCAGGAAGGCAGGAAGGCAGGAAGGCGGACTCGGCCAGAGCAGCTTCTCTAGACCCTTTAAAGCACCAGCGCTGGCCATCTGCTTTGTTCTCTTTCCATCTAAGAAAACAAGGGTAACAAGCCTGTTCTGGCTGCTTCCTCACAAGTTTTGCCAGAGGGCATCTGTGACCTCATAACTTTATTTCTAATCATTTATAAAGAAAGGTCATCAACATTGTTTTTCAGCATTTTCTCTGGTCTTTTTCTTATTGTGCCTTTCCCTGGTTTTGATATTAGGTAATGTTGGCCTCCTAAAATGACATGGGAGTGTCATCTCCCCTTCTGTTTCCATATGATTTTGAGTATGATTGCTACCAACATTCTATCTTACAGTACTTAGTAGAATTCACTGGAAAAGCCGCATGGGCCCAGACAGAGAAATACTCAGTTTGCCTCTTCAAATATGAGGTTTAGTAGTTTGTATCTTTCCTGGAGTTCTTTCTCTAGTTTCTTCAAGTAGAACTCTAGGGTGAGGGCTGACAAACCACAGTCTAACCCAAATCTAGCCCACAGCCTCTTTCGTACGCTCTGTGGGTTTGGCAAATTGGGGGGGAGAAGGAGACTCTGGTTAGGACCCCTGCAATCCCAGTCGGAGTGCCTGGGTTCCGGGCCAGGCACTGTTTCTGACCCAGGACGCAGCAAGTGATGGCTGAAGTATTTGGTCCCTGGCACCCACAGTGAAGACCAAATTGAATTCCCATCTCCTGGCTTCAGGCTGGTGCGCTCACACCTGTTGTGGGCATTTGGAAGTGAACTAATGGAGACCTGGACAGGTGCTTCTCTCTTTTTCTCTCTCCCACTCACCCCTCTCCCCCATTTCCCTCTGTCTTTCCCTTCCTCCCCCCACTTCCTGCCCCCCCCGCCATCACTTCCTTCCTCCTTTTTCTTCCTGCACTATTTGCTTCTCAAACACAAAGAAGACTGTGTGGTAGAGATTCTTCAGCCCACAAAGGCTAACATATTTACTCTATTGCCCTTTGCAAAACACAAGGTGCCGACACCTGGCTGAGAGCACTGATGTTTGGTCTTCTCTCCTAAGTGTAAGGATTCAATGCTATCAATTTCAATCCAAGTATTATATGAATTGTGTCCCATACATTTACACGCAGTACTTTCATTTTCATTCCATTCGGAACATTTTCTCTGTTTTCTTCTGACTCTTTCATTTTCAGATATCAGGGTATTACCTAGATATTATACCTTATTAATTTTTTTTTAGTTCCTAAGATTTATTTTATTTGAAAGGCAGAGTTACAGAGAGAGAGAGAAATATCTTCCATCCATTGGTTTACTCCCCTAAATGGCCTCAACAGTGAGAGCTGAGCCGATCCAAAAGCCAGGAGCCAGGAGCCTCCCCTGGGTCTCCCATGTGGATTCAGGCGCCCAAGGATTTGAGCCATCCTTTGCTGCTTTCCCAGGCTCTAAGTAGGGAGTTAGATTTAAAGTGGAACAGCTGGGTCACAAACCAGCACCCATATAGGGTGCTGGTGCCACAGGCAGATTAGCATGCTACACCATGGTGCCAGTTCCCATATTCATTTTGTTGCAGGGTGCAAGCAAGATCACACCAGACATGTCTAAGATTTATTAAGGAGTCTTTATTAATCAAGCTTGGTGACAATAGAGCACAATAGCAAATCACAAGTCCATATGGCAATCCAGCCAATCATAATCCAACCAATCATAATCCCGAAAGGAACAAATGCTTATTATCCTTAAGTCCATCCATTAAGCTGAAGACCTATGTGCCAGCTTCCCCAACAATATAAGTTATCACAGAGACATGCAATGAATAACCTGGACACACTTTAAAAAGCTGCAGACATTCACCTTTCCCTGGCTTCTCTGCCCACATTCCACTACTGCTAGGCCTCACCTCTCCTGGAACTCCTGACAGTACACAAACCAGAAGCAATGTTATTATATCCATTGTGCCATCAAAGCAGTACACAGGGACCATGCTCAAGGGATTACCTGTCCTGGGTCAGCCAAGAGTCGAGGTGCCAGAATAACAGAAGCACCTGGCCAAAAAGAGAGAGAACCCCTGCTTCACAGGCCTTTTAAAGGGGCTTGAGGGGACTGGTTATACAACAATGCAATAACGTCCCCTCTCAGTTGATTGGTGAGTCACAGGTGGGCAGAAGCAAATACCTAAGTGTTGTGGACTAAGGAGTTGATTAGTGCTGGTTGGGATGGGCAGGAACAGGAACTGGGCTTGTAGCTAAAAACACCTAGACTAATTGGACTTCCAATATCTTAGCTAATTTAGGATGTAAGGGGTGGTTGAGGATGGAATTAACATTCCATTGCTGTTAGGACCCACCTTCAGGACAGAGGGTAGAGAACACAGCCAAATTTCATTTGCCCAATGCCAATGGGTGCTAGCTATCACTGGCTGTACCCCAAAACAATTTCTAATTTAATTCCATGTGGCCAGAGAACATAATCTGTATAATTAGGCCCTTTTAATTTTATTGAGACAATTATAAAGTCCAAAGTATGGTATGTTACTGTGAATGTTTTGTGTACACTTGAAAATTAAACATATTCTGCATTGTTAGGGAGGAGTATTCAGTAACTCTCAGGGCATGTTAGATAACAGTATCGGTTGTGGCTTTTTAATCACACACACACACCAGCATGTTCACAGTCAGAAAGGGGTCCAGTACACTAGTTCACTCCCTAAATGGCTGAAACTGGGAGCTCGAAACTCAGTTCAAGTTTCCCACATGGATAGCAAGAACCTGGATACTTGAACCATCACCTGCTGCTTCCCAGGGTCTGCAGGAGGAGGAAACTGGATTGGATCCAGAACCTAAACCCAGGAACTCAGATTTGGGATGCCTCCTGGGTGTACACTAGAAAGAAGCAGGGTTGGCAACTCAATCCCATGTATTCCAAAATTGAAGCAAGGAGCTGTCACTGATGGTATATGAGTTAAGTTGCCTGCAATGCTAGTAATCCATATGGGTTCTGATTCTAGCCATTCAATCCAGCTCCCTGCTAATGTCTTGGGAAAACAGTGGAAGATGACCCAAGTGTTTGGGTCCATGTACCCTATTGGAGACCCAGATGGGATTCGTGGTTCCTGACTTCAGCCTGGTCTCACTATTGCAGCCATTGGAGAAGAAATCAGAAGATGGAAGATTCTCTCAATTTCCCCCTCTCTCTCTATAACTCTGCCTTTCAAATAAATAAATCTCTTAAAAGCAAATAGGATGCAGGCATCACTAGTAATAGCTTAACCTGCTTTCACCTTTTTTATGCAGATAAAAATATGTATAATAAATATATTTATTTGAAAGGCAGAGAGACATACTCTTCTATCTGCTGATTGACTCCACGTGACTATAATTGCCAGGCCTAGACCAGGCTAAAGCCAGAGCCAAAAGTTCTTTTTTTATTTATTTAATTCATTTTTGTTGAAAGACTGATTTACAGAGAGAAAGAAATACAGAGAGAAATATCTTCCATCCGCTGATTCACTCCCCAGGTCACCACAACAGCTGGAACTGAGCCAATGCAACTTGAAGACAGGAGCCAGGATCTTCTTCCAGGTCTCCCATGCGGGTGCAGGGTCCCAAGGCTTTGGGCCATCTTTTACTACCTTCCCAGGCCATAAGCAGGGAGCTGGATGGGAAGTGGATCAGCCAAGACATGAGCCAGCACCCATATGGGATACCAGTGCATGCAAGGTGAGGAATTAGCCAATAGGCCATCGCCAGACCGAGAACCAGGAATTCAGTTCGGGTCTCTCACATGGATGTAAGGATCCAAAAACTTGGACCATCTTCAGCTGCATTCCATGGCACATTAGCAGGATGTTGGATTGGAAGAATAGCTGGTTCTCAAACCTGCACTCAAATGGGATGCCAGCACCATTGAAGGTGGCTTAATGCTGTGTGCCAGCCCTACACCTTCATTTTTCATTTTTGAGTATTTTTGCTAGATTTATAATGAAAATTGATACTTTTTTTTCACATTTGAAAATGTCTTGTATTATCTTTGACTTGGTTTCTGTCAAAAAGTCTGCCTTGATCCTGTGTCTATAACTTTTACTATTTTCTGGATGCTCCTAAGATTTTTCTCACACTGGTTTTCAGCAGTATATGGTCTATTTGCCATGATATTCTTTTTGTGTCTGATGCTTGGTATTCAAAAGGCTTCTTTAAAGTCTAGGTTTACAGTTTTCACTGAATCCAACCATTTTCAGACATTATTTTTTCAAATATTCTACTTGCCCTTCTGGGGCTGTGATCGTAGTGGGTCTATCCCTTGGTAAGTTTCCCTACTCACCTCATCCGTGCCGTTTCCTCTGCACCCTTTGAAGGATCTTTGTGGGGCAAGTCCAGGGCAGCCTTTAGACCAGGGCTCAGGTAGTCCCCCTTGGGAGAATTCAGCCTGCAGCTGTGGGTATGTGGAGCCTCTCCACCTTCTGGTGAGACTTTGAACCTGCTGTCATCTCTGTTTCCTGAGCCTTCAATGGTGTCCTCTCAACCAAGCACAGGTTAGTCCTTGGCCAAGGTTCTAAGTGGACTCCGGTGCAGAAGCCTTCCTCTGTGAGCACCCAGCTCTCTCCCCTTATTTTCATGGTCCCTAGCCATTGACAAAGCAACCCAGAACCAGCTTTCTCAGCAACAGTGCCAAGTGCCTTACCCACCACGGCCAGTACCCTCCCCTTGACAGCAAAATCTCTGAAGTTTGGAATGAGAAAATGTGTTGTGGGGCTTTCCCATGCATTGTTTCGCAGAACCCCTGAACTCCATACACAGGATAGAATGCCAGTAGCACCCCAAACATTGTGGCATCCAAAAATGTCCCCAGACACACTCCAGTGTACCCTGGAGAGCATGTCACCCAAGGGAGAACCTGTGGCCACTGCTGACTGAGCTGTCTCAGTGTGGTGCTCTGAGTCAGCCTCATGGCTTCAGAAACCTCCAAACAATGGATCTGTCTTGTTTTTAAGGTCAAGTCTTTTGAGAAGGAAAGGCAAACAGAGAAGCGTGTGCTGGAATCTGATCTCGTGGACCATGTTGTGCAGAAGCTGAGGACTAAAATCAGCGATGAGAGGAGTATCAGGTAAACTTAGCGAGCAAAAACCCAGAAACTTAACTGCAGTGACCTATGCAGAACCTGTTCAAAGTGATTGTACAAGTCAGGGTCACTTCTGCTGAAGCATTCTGTTTGTTGCTTCTGGCTCATTCAGTCAACAGTTCCATTATATAACCCTCATATAGGATTCATCACGTCTTGTTTTCAACATTGTTCTTTATAACTGTGTTAGTCTGTTTTGTGTTGCTGCGATGAAATACCTGAGGATGAGTGTCTTAGAAAGAAAAAATATTTACATAGCTCACAGCTTGGGAGGCTGTAAGTCCCAGATTGGCCAGCCCCCAGCATTCAGCCTTTGTTGAGAGTCCCTTTGGCTGTGTCACAACACAGTGGAGAACAAAAAGGGAAGCTGCCAAGTGTGGAGAGTCACCTCAGCCTGTCACAACCCCCTTTCTCTCAGGAACCAACTCACCAGACCACTATTAATACCTCCAAGTTGGTGCCCCTTGGCCTAATCCCCTTCCATGGGGCCCCCTCTCTTGAATATTCTACCACCTCTCAGCTGTCACATGGGACACCAAGCTGCCAGCACTTGGAACCTTTGGGTTCCATACACTCAAGCCATGGCAATGTCATTTCCCAGGATATTTGATCCTTTGGAAGTCCTGAGAGCCCAGTTCTTTCTGCTGTTGTCCCGCTCGGTCTGCTAATCAGTGAAGTTCAGTCAGTGTTGGCCATGTAATTTGAATAATCTTGAAAGACATATCATATACTCATGCTGGGAATATGAATTGACTCAAACCTCTGGATAGGAATTTAGCAAGGCATTTACACTAAAAATCTAAAACTACTAACCCACCAATTCCACTTTCAGATATTAATAGTAAAAATTATTAACAGCTATTCTCAAACTTTGGATTCAGAACCTCTTTCTGGCATTCAACACTAATTGAGGATTGCAAAGAACTATTGTTTATGTGAGCTATAGCTATCAGTATTTTCTGTGTCAAAAATTAAAATGTAAGCACTTTTAAAATAATTATTTCCTTTCAAATAAAAATAAGTCCATTAATTACCTGCTAATCTGAATAACATCTGTAATAGAAAATAACTGTATTTTGGAAAACAAAGATTTCTAAAAGTGGAATTGGTTTTCATACTTGCAAATTGCTTCCCTGCATTGTTTTACAGTTCTATAATCTCTTTAATACCTTAACAGAAGAAACAATTCTTTTCTATAGCTTCTGCATTCAGTCAGTTGTGACATCACATGTCACATAGTCTCTGGGAGGCCTGGCAGTACATTTGTGGAGGAAGAGGGTGAATAGGACAGTTAACATTTTAGGATCATTAGGCTGACGGTTTTACGCTGTAGGCCCTTTGAAAGGATCTTTGGGACCTGCAAAGTCCCCGACCACACTTTGAGGATCTCTCAGTTACAGTTATCAAAATATGCACTGGTGGGCCACTGTTTGAATTATGTCAAATACAGTGGAACATTGTGCCTTTTAAAAACAATGATTCTGAAAAAGCTGAGTTTATTGACATGGAAAGATATCCAGAGGTTGGCTAATGTCCCATTTCTCTTGTAACCAAAATATACAACCTAGATCTTGAGAAGTATCTGGAAGACCTACTAAATGTTTAATTGTAATTATTTCTGGTTACTAGGATATAGAGATTTAAAATTTCCTCACTAAGCTTCTGTATATATTTGCAGCTGTAGCACACATATAATCAGAAAACGCCACACTCTTTTGGCTTCTATCAGTGATCCTCACCTAGCAGCGATTCTGCCCCACAGAAACATCTGGCAACTTGTGGAGACATACTTGGCTGCCACAGCTGAGAGCAGCTGCTAGTGTTCTATTGAGGCCAAGGATGCTGCTGAAACATCGCCCAGTGCACAGGGCTGACCCTTCCCCCTCCCATTCCCAACCTTTCCCTCACCCCCATTCTGCCAACAAAGGATTATGTGGCTCAGAATATCAGTAGTGCCAAGACTGAGATCCTGGCTTCCATACAAAAGACCCTGCTTTTTCCTTCAAGGCTGTTTACACCTAGCTTTAATTAATTCACCAGTAGGCTTTCCGTAGGGGAATGTCATGTTCCTGAGGTCACCAGCCATTAGTCTTAGATCCAGAGCAAACCGGTTTAGAAAAGAAAAAAAATGGCAACAAAGAATAGTGTGTGGAGGTGAACACCAAGACACCTTAAGGGCTACATGGGATTTTAATTTTAACAGTGCAGTTTCATGAAAATCTTTTTTGTCTATGCAAATAATCATTTCCCTGTTTTGCCAAGACAGTATGCTGTTGTGTCTCTCAGAGGCAATCAATTAATTCACAGCATTTCAAAGAACATTCATAAAGCTTTTGGAAGAGTATCCTTCACCCAGTGCTCTGCCAGGCCACTGCCTTAATGAAGGAGGGGTAAATGCTGTTGTTAATGTCTCCTTGTATTGAGAGGTGCAGAAAAAAACACCCATTATATTTTATTGAAATGAACTTCTTGCATTGAGCCAGAACTTCAAACCCAGCTGAATAGCTCAATGTTTTCCTTAGGCGTTTGTTAATTCAAAATGGCATCCTGTGTGTGACTTTTTATTTGCTCTTGACCAAAAGCATAACTGTCAATTTATGTTGTTGGTTTGTGGTTTTCCTCCTACTAATAACCAACAGGTGAAAATTTTTATATTTAATTTAAAATGTGGCTTGCTATACATGTAATTCGCTGTAAAATTTCTGTGTTGCTTTTGCCTTATTGACTGTTTTCTAATTGTTTTTGTTTGCTTGTTTTTAGAGAAGTCTCTGATAATCTTGCAGTGCAAAATCTGAAGGGGTCCTTTTCTAATGCCTCAGGTATAATGACTAATTATAATCTGAACATGCTTCTGTGTTTGCTCTAAACACTTAAGACATGGCTAACACTTTGTGACACTGGAAATATATTTTTGAAATGACACTGTGCTGCAAATTGTGCCACCTGTAATTCAGTCCTATACTTTAAAACTCACATGCTGGAAAAACGAGGACTTAGATGTCTTAGGATGTGGCATCTCACAATATCTGCAAGCGGTCTTATCTTCCACTGACTTGGTCAGTTGTATACATAAAATATGTGTAATTTTCTGAGTAATGTTTCCCACACAAGGGACTGAAGAAAAGTCCTTGAAATCCCTTGAAAGAAAAAAACATAAACTCAGGCCTCTGTATCCATGGGCTCGGCATCTGTATATTCAACCAACCTAGAATGAAAACCTTTGGGGAAAAAATTCTGCATGTGCACTAAGCATGAAGAAATTTGTTGACCATAAACATTTACCTAGCATTTACCTTCTGTCTGGGATTATGAGTCACCTAGCAGTGATTTTAAACAGACAAGAATATGAGTAGGTTATGTGCGAATATGACACCATCGAATAGGAGGACTTGCACAGTTAGCAGGTTTGCTCCCTGGGGGCTCCCGCCGCGCAGCCCTGCCCTGAGGAGTAGGTGCCTACCTTATTTCCATGAAAGCCTAGAGGAACTGTGCTCACAGAGGTCTCATCACCTCTGCTGTCCTTACTGATGTGTTGCAGTTAAGTCTATGAGAGGAAAAAAAAAAAGAAAAAGACTGTGAGATCCATTTCTGTTAGCTTTAACTTTGTGCCATGAGATTTCAAATACTTGGAGGAATTTAGAGAAGTATCAGAGTTTGGGAAACGCCTAAAGTGGTTTGAAACTCAAGAGGCCTTGGAGCCTCCTGCTGCCTGCCCTTCATTTTCATGGCCCAACACTCACCTGAGAGAAGCATCAGCACTGCTGTGTGGCGGGATCCTGGGCCCCTCCCAGCTCAGGGCAGGAGACTGCACAGTTAGGAAGCAAAGCCCAGACCGAAGTCAGCCCTTAGAATCACAACAGGGCACCTAGTAAACTAGCTGTTTCTTAAACAGTGTGCTGTAGAGAGTGAGACCAGATAAAACCACCCATCCTGTAACTCTCTTAGGTTTGTTTGAAATCCACGGAGCAACAGTCATTCCCATCGTGAGTGTGATCGCCCCGGAGAAGCTGTCGGCCAGCACCAGGAGGCGGTACGAAACCCAGGTATGCCAAGCCGGCTTCCTCCAGCTTTCCCAGTGAGCCCAAGGAGGACACAGACAAGGAGAGAAAGAACCCTGGGATTACTGGGAAGTATTTGTCTCCCACTTCTTCCATTGTGGTACCCTCTTACCCTCTGAAACTCTTTTCAATACACAGCCACTCTGCTGCCAGGACTCAACCCCGCTTTTCCTGCAGAGTGAGGCAAACAGCAGACAAGAGAAGCAATTGTCAGAACAATTGCTCCTAAATAAAACGTCCTCATTTGCTCCTAATGGCAGTGGGGTCTGTCTTTGTTCTAAGTAACAAAGCAGAAGAGGTTGACTGCAAGACTCGAGGCAGGTTCCTGAGCCCAGACATGCCCTGGTGCACCTGCTATATGCCTGATGCCATGCTCAGATGTATGTAAAATATCAATGAGCTTATAACCTCAGAAGTATATGCATGACACAAGCATGTTGGCAATAGAAGGAAGCAATAAGAATGTAAGTGAAATATAGTGACTATAAATGTCGGAAAGGGAGCATTAAAAGGGTAGACATTGTTTTCGTTAGAAATACAGTTAGATTGGATGATGTAAATAACCAAGGACTTCATTTTTATAAGCTCTCCTGTTTCTCAGGATTTGAGTGCACACCTGTTTTTTTTCTTGTTTTCCTACTGTCTTATCATTTGTTATTTCAGCTACATGTTCTCGTTACTGTTGCCCTCTTCTTTTTCCAACTCCATTTGAGAAAGGCAGAGCAACAGAGACAAAGACATCTATCAGGCCTGTAAAGTCCTTGCCTTGAATGCCCCGGATCCCATATGGGTGCCAGTTCTAATCCCATCCAGCTCCCTGCTTGTGGCCTGGGAAAGCAGTTGAGGACGGCCCAAAGCCTTGGAATACTGCACCCGTGCGGGAGACCCAGATGAGGCTCCAGGCTCCTGGCTTCAGATCAGCGCAGCTCTGGCTGTTGCAGTTACTTGAGGAGTAAATCATCGGATCTTCCTCTCTGTCTCTCCTCTTCTCTGTATATCTGATTTTACAATAAAAACAAATCTTAAAGAAAAAATGACATCTATCCACTAGTTCACATCCCAGGGGCCCACCACAGCCAGGGCTGAGCTAGGCTGAAGTTGGGACCGACACTCCTGTGTGCAACTTCCCTGTTTCCACCCAGGCTGAACATTGGCAGGAAGCTGGGTCAGAAGCCTAGGAGCTCTGACGAGGGCTGCAGGTGTCCCGAGCAGGCTGACCCTTGAGCCAGGGCTGGCACTGTGTGCTATAACTCTAGAATACCATACGGGTACTGGTTCGGGTCCTGGCTGCTCAGCTTCTGCTCAGCTCCCTGTTAATGCACCTGGAAAACAGCAGATGATAACCCAAGGATTTTGGTACCTGTCCCCACCCCCAGATGTAGTTCTGGGTTCTTTTTTTCAGCCTGCCCAGCCCTAGTCAGTGCAGCCATTTGGGAATAAACCAGTGCATGAAGATTTCTCTCCCTCTCTCTATGACTCTGCCTTTCAAGTAGTTTAAAAAAAAAAAAAGAAGAAGAAGAAAAAGAAAAGAAGGGCCCTATGCAGTAGCCTAGTGGCTAAAATCCTCACTTTGCATGCCTGGAATCCCATATCTCATATGGGTGCCAATTCGTGTCCTGGATGCTCCACTTCCCTTCCAGCTCCCTGCTTGTGGCCTGGGAAACCAGTAATGGATGGCCCAAAGCCTTGGGACCCTGTACTCATGAGGGAGACCTGAAGGAACAACTTCCTGGCTCCTGACTTCAGATCAGCTCAGCTCCAGCTGTTGCAGCCACATGGGGAATGAATCAGCAGATGGGAGATGTTTCTCTCTGTCTCTCCTCTCTGTGAAATCTAACTTTTCAATGAAAATAAATAAATCTTTAGAAAACAAATAAATAAAATTCACTGAGCCAAATGCCCACCCTAAAATTCAGTAATACTAAAATCTGCTTCCACTTACACCATTGCTCTGTGCCTTTGCTGGGAATTATTTCAAAATCTATCAAGAAGTGAACAATAAGGATTATTATACAAATGATCACAACAGATTCTTACAGTTTCCTTGAGTCCAATGACTGAAAGCTCCTCTTCGAGGTAGACTAAGCACTATCTGGACTCCTCTCTAGGCACTGGTTTGTTACTCTGTAATGTTTTCTGGGACAGGGCAAATGACATGGCAGAAAAGATGGTTCGGTTTAACATGTTTTGAATTCCATTTTCTTCTTGTCAGGTGCAAACCCGACTTCAAACCTCCCTTGCTAACTTACATCAGAAGAGCAGCGAGATTGAGATTCTGGCTGTAAGTCACTTTCTTTACCATTCTGAAGCTGGCTTCTGTCCGTCCTGTCAGAGCAGCTGCCACAAGTTCAGAGTGTGTCTTACTGAGTGTCAGCAATGTTTGGGTACAGGACTTGTCAATGATGTGAACCACGTTTGACCTAAACCTGCAAAGACAGATGTAGACAACTAAAGGGGTTTCGTTTCTCCCTTTCCTTTCTTTGGAAGCTGGGGGTAGGCAGAATAAAAACCAAAATCCTCACTTCCTACATACCTCAGGCCTCTGCTGTACCAAGCCTGCCCACTGGGTGCACTGTGTAGGATGGGGAGGGGTCCCCTGCTCCCCCGTTCACAGCAGTCGGCTGACAGTGCACGCACGGGTCAGTGCAGCTCAAGCTGGGTTAGAGCACAGTACCATGGCAGACAGACCCTGCCAGCCGTATTCACTGTGCGGTCTCCAAAGCCACATGTTAGTCGCCTGATAGATGATGTACATTTCTGTGTTAACAGGTGGATCTACCCAAAGAAACCATCTTACAGTTTCTATCATTAGAGGTAAGCAACAAGAATTCTAGACTGTGCTGTTTGCTGTGCGTTTGCCAGATCAGATTAAAAATGGTGTTAGAGTTCCTCAATGTTAGTATTCTGCTGTTTTCTTAGCCACTATGCAGTGTTTTCAAGTGAACCCTCATCCTGGCTAGGGAGGCTCATACACAGAAGGCCTTTGGTAGAAACTAAAGTTAATCCAGGTCCTTTCTAAATTTCTTTATTTCTTTAAAGGTATATTCAAGGGAACTTGAAAAGGTCCATGGAAAAAAACTAATAAAATTATACTGAGAGGGCCTGAAAGCAGTGATATCCAACAGCAAGGAGCTCCAGATCAGCCCGAGGGTCATTCATCACTGAACTCACTCTCACTGGCTGACTCAAAGGCTGGGCTTGGGGTTTACACGATGAATGTGGAACATCTTTGTAAAGAGGAGCTCAAAAATATCTGTGTCTCCCTCTTTCTGTAACTTTAACAAATAAGAATTTTTTAAATTTTTAAAAAGTACAAATAAAGTTCATGCATCGTTTTCTCATAAAATGCATTTTCTATGAAACTTTTGCAGATCCTTCCTGCTTTTACCATCAAACAGACTAAACTAGAACTTTAAAAATGTTCATTATATCATTATACTAGTCCTTTGCTGATTTATAATCCACTCACATGAAAGCATCTGACACAAACAGGAGGTAGAGATAAGTGGTTTAAAATCACATTAGCACAGCTGGACTCCAGCCTTGTTAACCAGGCCATAACCAGGCGCCTGCAGTCTTGCTGTGAGGAAAGTTTAGGCTTCAAAGGCAAACCCTGGCTGCCACCAGGCAGCGCTTTCTTCCTGTAGCTTATTCGTGGCTATCTGAGGAGAAATGGCACTGATGCTTCCTTAATAAGTCAGAAAAACCTGGTTAAATAACCCAAGTGCCCTGTTGTTTTGTCTTGCTAGTGGGACGCTGACGAACAAGCATTTAACACAACTGTGAAGCAGCTGCTGTCACGCCTACCAAAGCAAAGATACCTCAAAATGGTCTGTGATGAAATTTATAACATCAAAGTAGAAAAAAAGTAAGTGATCACTTAAGGCATAACAAGTTTCACAAGGCTGAAACTCAAAGAGGGGGGCGCAGAGTGACACACTTTAGTGTCTTTTGAGGTATAGTGGCTAAGAACCTATTGTCAGAACTACAACAGGCAAACCAGGAAACCTTGCTGGCTGTGGTCATATCAGGATGTTGGGATAATACACTGGGTCCTAGGAGTAGCTATCCCAATTTGATTCACCCACATCATTCTAGAAATATTAATGTGAAAGGAAATAATTATGACTACCTTGTTTTGTGCCTTCATACAAAAATGCCAGTCAGTCGTGTCTTCGCCCACACAGAACTTGTGCTGCAGTCCCAAGCCAGTCACAGCCCATATACATTTCTAAGTGACACGCTTCAACCTGGTATGAATTGAGTTCCTACAGTTAAGTCTCCTTATAACATGCCTCCCTTTTCCTTCTTTTGCAGAGTGTCTGTGCTATTCCTGTATAGCTACAGAGATGATTACTACAGAATCTTATTTTAACCTGGAAGAAGTGTCATTACACTGTTCAAAGTCAGGAGCTTAACACTGGAATAATGGAATGTTGTACATTCATTGTAATTTTATGTTTGAATTCTTAGAAGCTGTCCCACAAAGTTGAGTTTTGTCAGCTTTTCATGTGTAATATATTATAAATTATCTTTTTGAATATAATAAAAGCTTTCATACATCTGCTGCTTTTTAATTACAAATGAGTGAATACTAAGTTGATGATGCTAGGACACACACACACACACAGCCTTGTTTTTCCCTTGGACTTAATGACTAAACACCTAAAAATGTCTAGCCTGAAAGGCAGAGAAAAACCAAAAATCAGTATTACCATGGCAACTTTATTCTTGATTTATGACGGAACATTTTCTAGAAAACTGTCAGGCTTCAATTCCAGTCACCAAGAAGATAAGTGAAAGCCTATCATTTATGGCCTTCTAGGATTGGTAGTTAGCGCCACAACTGTGAAAATCGGGTGGGAAAAGAAGTGAGAGGCAGTCCATGCTGACAGACAGGTTTAATGATCCATTGTGCTTCACAGAGATGTCCGAGACTTTTAAGCTATAACCCAGGAAAACACAACCATGCCGCACAGACCAATCGGCCACATCTGACATAAACTGGCTTCTTACCACAACTACCCTGTAAACACTCAACTCTGCTCTCCAAGATGACCCACATCACACATGGAAACAGTAGCTACTGGGAGCCAGAAACTTAGCCTGTGGCTCAAAAGAAAAACCAAAGGAAGCCTAGCCACTGAGTGGGAGCTGGGGAAAGCAGGCCGTGGGCATCTCACTGTGCTGGTTTGCTCTTCTTACTCTTGCTCTTTTTGTCCCGCTTCTTGAGCCCATCCATGTTTGCTCTCAGCAGGTTGGAGTAGGCCTGAAAGACACAGAGCAGGACCCGAGTAAAAGGGGAACAGACACAGGGCAGGTCAGCTGCCCTGGGACAGTAATTCAGACAGTCAGAATCAAAACGCCTCCTGGATAGAATACAGACAATGCCATAAGGAGCACTTGTACTGGAAAATGGTAAAACATGCAACATACACTATCACAGCTTTTGCAACACTGGCCCACGCTGAGTTTTGTGTGTGTTTGTTTGTTTATTTTTTAATTTAGCAAAAGAGAAAAACTGAAGACACCTTCTTGTTCAATGACATTTTAAGTGGAGTATATGTAAAGACTAGTGAGACAAAAATCTAGCTTAGAACTACAAAGGCAGTCTGGATCAGTACTGAAATCCACAGCCTGGAGTTTTCACTTTAAAAAGTATTAGTAAAAACTTACAGGAGCACAGGGAACCCAAACATCAACCTTTCTGTTGCTGTTATTTTCCATTATTCAGTTTTGCACATATAGGGATTCCCCCTTCCACCTCCCCTTCCTCCCTCCCTGTTCTACCCAACCCCCGTTTGCCCCCATATTGTTACAATATACAGCCCTTCAGCAGCAATCACAAGTCCAACATTCTGCTATTTAAGTACCATGGCACTGTAGGTATAGGCAATGGCAGAAAGCCTAGTGTCACTGTCAAGGTATATTTAGCAGTTGAGAGTCCGCCTTTTATTTGGGAATAAAGGTGTACTCTGCAATGTATCTTCACCTCCCAGCACCGAGCTTCACTCTGAACACAGCTTTCTCAGTCATGCTGATGCCCTAAGAGGGGGGACACATGAAGCACCCGACACTCACCATCTGAAACTTGTTCACTTCTTTGGAGCTCACCTGGAAAAGATGGTCAAGAGGTCACTCCGCCCATCCTCTCTCCACCCCAGATAAGTTCCTAAAATCCTGATGAAGTGACTTCTCTCTAAAATACTTCTTCCCAACTCGAGGGGTCATTACATACTGAAGGTCAGTTTTCTACTCCACTTTCCTGAGAGACAGGCTAGATCACCTCTTGCCCCATGGGCATGATGCCAGGCTGCAGAAGGCAGAGCTGCAACTCGCACAGCAGTTATGTTCCTCACCTCTGGTGAAGGAGATCTCTTACCCAGTTGGCACCAAGTTTGCTGCCCGGCTTTGACAAAGATCTCAGACTCCTCAGTGTTGATTTTTTGCCAGATGCATCAGTACTGCTTTCCATTAAGCCAGTTCTAGTTAGCGCACTGCAAGCTTCCACAAGAGAAACTGCTTCTTCAGAGGATTCCTCAGGCTTCTGTATTTCATGCCATCCACCTTTCCTCTTGGAAACCAGTTAAGCTTGCCTTACTGTGCGTCTTCTCAAGATGACTTACAAAGGGAAACCTCAGTGAGTTCTAGTTCACACTCTCCTGAATTGCCTATCCTGTGACTAGGGAACACAGGAGTTCTGCTCCATAATAAAGGGATAGTCACTCAATCCAGAAGTCTCACTTTGCCATATTTAACCTTCATGATAAAAAGAATGACAGGATCTCTCGATTCAATGTGCCAGTATCTTGTTCAAGCCAAGCCTAGAAAACAGCCATGTGCTTGCTATGCAAACCACAATCAGGGAGTAATCTTAAAAATAAAAGCACAGAGGCCAGCGCAAGGCTCAACTGGCTAATCCTCCCTCTTCAATGGCCGGGATCCCATTTGGGCGCTGGTTTACATCCTGGTTGTTCCACTTCCCATCCAGCTCCCCTGCTTGTGGCCTGGGAAAGCAGTGTAGTACGGCCCTGAGCGTTTGGGACCCTACTCCACGTAGGAAACACAGAAATCCCTGGCTCCCGGCTTTGGATTGGCTCAGCTCCCGCGGTTGCAGCCACTTACGGAGTGAATCAACGGATGGAAGATCTCTATCTCCTCTCCATAAATCTGCCTTTCCAGTGAAAATAACTAAATCTTTAAAAATAAAAACATCACCTGGTACCAAAAAACTAATGAAGGTCTAGAGAAGAATTGCACTAGCTGCTCCGCACGGTAGGATAAGGAGTAAGGATGAACAGGCTGGTTTCTGTGTCACAAAAATTTTAGCAAATATTTGACCTCTGCTTTGTTCATTTCAACTTTATTGCTGCAGTTTCTAAAAACAAAAGGAGTCAAGGAAGGTCCTGGTCCCCTAACAGCCTGGGAGCTATACACTAGCCTTGATTTAATACAGAAGTCAATTAATAACAGATAAAGCCTGATGCGGGAATGGCCACCGTCAGGTAAGTCGGAGTCGGGAAGCCAGCTCACCACGGTGCTGATCTTCCTCTTCCCGTCAGTCGCTCTCAACAGACATTTGTTGTCTGCCGGTTCGAAGCCCTCCACGGAACCCTTCCGGGGAATGGGTTTGGTGCGACCGTCATCTGCATGGAAAACAACACATCTTGTTGAGCGCAGCTACAGGCGTTGCTGACAGGTGGATATAAAGTGAATACTGCCCTAGCCCACACCTCCTGCTCCGCGCAGAGAACCTCAGCATCCAACCCTTGGCCAAACCGCTGCTATTCCCGCCATGGAAAGGCAAGGACACAGACGCACAGGAAATCCCACTCAAACGGGTTGTGGGGATTCCTGGCATGCCGGGTACCGAGCTGGGCGGCTGCGGCCCGTGCTACCAGCCCTCACCCCCCGCACAGGTCGGTGCCCCGAGCCGGCCACTTAGCCTGCAGCACGCCCTCGCCCAGTCTCCGCCCGGCCCTGCCGCGACGCCGGCCGCTTACACTTCTTCAAGGTGATGAACACGCTGCCCGACAGCCGGCACTTCTGGAACAGCCTGGTCAGCTCCGTCAGGAACTGGAACACAAGCCCAGCCCCGTTAGCAGTGCCGAAGCTCCCCTCTTCCCCAGCCCGCACCCCTCCTGGAAAAGGAGCCGGAGGCCCCGGGTTCAGCCCAGATTCACAGCCGCCGCCGCCCCGGCCGTACCTGCTCGCTCTCCAGCAGCACCATGGCAGGGGTGCCGGCTCCGCTCCGTTAACAGACAGCCCCACCGGGGCAGCCGGAAGTCCCGCCCAAGCTGCGAGGCGCTTCCGCTGCCAGGCTTCACCAATCGCCGCCCGCACCGTCTTCTCGCCCCGCCCACCCGGCCGGCCCCCGGGTCGCCCTCGGCCCTGCCTGAGGGGTCCTGTGCTGGGAGAGGGCTGCCTGCCGCGTCCCCACACAGGAGTCAGATCTGCTGCAAAGTAGAGTTGTGTATGTTTAGCTGTATGTTGAACGGGTGACCTAGCGGCCCAGTGCCTTAGCTGCCCAATTCCAAGGAGAGCACAATGGGTCACCTGCCTCTCCATGTGATGGAGACGAGTATATTAAACACGCAGGACAGTGTCGGGCCATGCAGAATGCGCTATTGCTAGCGGATATTATTTTCACGATCCTTCATAGTGAGCTCTCACGACTGATGGCAAGGAGGACTGGAGCGCAGTGTTGGTTTCTCTGCACTCAGTCAGGAGTCTCTAATGCCTCTTGGCTGTGCACCCTTGTATGGAGCTGGAGCTACAGCAGTTTAGAAGATGAGCTAAGAGGCGGACGGTGTAATGACTCCTGGCTGCTCTACTTCCCATCCAGCTCCCTGTCTGTGGCCTGTGAAGGCAGTAATGGACCGCCTAAGCCTTGGGACTCTGCATCCACGTGGGAGACCTGCAAGAAGCTCCTGGCTCCTGACTTCGGATTGGCTCAGCTCCGGCTATTGCAGCCACTTGGGGAGTGAGCAAGCAGATGGATCTTTCTCTGTCTCTTCTCTCCATAAATCTGTCTTTCTGATGAAAATAAGTTAATCTTATTTTTTAAAGGGGTGGGGGAGAGGAGGGGAGGAAGAGAAGAAGGCAGCCCAACTTCAAGCTGGAGTCAGCAAAGTTCTCTCAGTAGAGATCTTTAATGTTGAAAGCTAAAAGGACAGCTTCATGAAGATCTGGAGACAGACTATTTTAGACAGGAGGAACAACTAGAGCAAAGACCAACGGAAAACACATGGCACTGGGTGTCACCAAGGCCGGGGGTGAGGGTGATGTGGAGAAGGCCTGTGAAAACCAGGGACAAAGGAGCATGAGGAGCAGCCAGCTGCAGGTTACGTGGGGCCCTTGCCGTGATAAATTTGCTCCAGATACAGATAGAAGATTCATGTAGGTTTTGCTTGATTGGAAGCAGCTGTCTCATCCACTGTCCCCATTCCTAGACCATTCCCACCCTAATCAATGGTTCACATTGGACATGAATCCTTCTCAGCTATGTAAACATCATCAAAAACAAAATACATTGGGCCTGGCACAGTAGCCTAGCGGCTAAAAAGTCCTTGCCTTGCACACACTAGGATCCCATGTGGGCACCGGTTCTAATCTTGGTGGCCCTTCTTCCCATCCAGCTCCTGCTTGTGGCCTGGGAAAGCAGTCGAGAATGACCCAAAGCCTTGGAACCCTGCACCCATGTGGGAGACTCAGAAGAGGCTCCTGGCTCCTGGCTTTGAATTGGCTCAGCTCCGGCCAATGTAGCCATTTGGGGAGTGAATCATCAGATGAAAGAGATGAAAGATCTTCCTCTCTGTCTTTTCTCTCTGTATATCTGGCTTTCCAATAAAAGATAAGTCTTTTAAAAATAAACTAAAATACTTCTATTATGAGGGGGAGAAAGCTTTACTCACAATGAAAAACTGATTTGTGCTTTTCAAATAGCTCCATCTTGGATACAGAGACAAACCAGGAAACAGGAGCCTACTTAAGGAACTGGTAGCCTCCCTGTATTGCTATAACCAATCACCACAAGCCTAGTAGCTTGAAACAATGTAGCTTTATTCTTTTACAGTTCTGGAGATCAAGTCTAAAACTGGGCCCAGTGTGATGGCGCAGTGGTTAAGGTCCTTGCCTTGCACACACTGGGATCCCATATGGGCGTCGGTTCTAATCCCGGCAGCCTCACTTCCCATCCAGCTCCCTGACTGTGGCCTGGGAAAGCAGTGGAGGACAGCCCAAAGCTTTGGGACCCTGCACCCGCGTGGGAGACCTGGAAGAGGTTCCTGGCTTCAGATTGGCTAAGCTCCAGCCGTTGCAGCCACCTGGGGAGTGAATCATCCAAAGGAAGATCTTCCTCTCTGTCTCTCCTCCTCTCTGTATATCTGACTTTCCAATAAAAATAAAATAAATCTAAAAAAAAAGTCTAAAACTAATGAACCAGGGCAGATATGTGGTTAAGTCAGCGCTTGAGATGCCTGCATGCCAGCAGATGGAAGATCTCACTCTCTCTTTTTTGTCATTTTGCCTTTCAAATAAATAAAACTTTAAACAAACAAACAAAAGGTTTGTGGTTAAATTAGAATTAAAAGATACAGCTTTTGATACAAAGAATTGTAAATCCATGCATCATTTTCTCATAATACACATCCCCATGAACTTTTGGTTGACCTTGCCATAGGCATGAATTTAAACATATGTTGCGTCACTAGTGCTGGTGTGATGGCTCAATTGTCTATAAGCACCAGCATCACATACGGGCACCATATGGGCACCAATTCTTGTCCTGGCTGCTCCATTCTGAACTAACTCCCTACTGTAACCCTGGAAGGCAGTAGAGGTCAGCCCAAAGCCTTGTGACCCTATGTCCACGTGGAAGACCTGGAAGAAGGTCCTGGCTCCTGGTTTCTGATCAGCTCAGCTCTGGCCACTGTGGCCATTTGAGAAGTGAACCAACAGATGGATAAATTTTCTGTCTCTCCTCTGTAAGAGCTACCTTTCCAATAAAATAAATAAATCCTTTTATTTTAACTTTTTTATTGTTAATAACGTTGTATTATGATACAGTTTTATAGATACTGGGATTCCCCCTACGCCTCCTATAACCCTCCCCCCAATAAATCTTTATTTAAAAATTTTTTGCATCAAAATAGATATCTTTGAATTCCACTTTTCACAAACTATTGAAATATCTTCTTGGAATACATTCCTCAAGACAAATGATATTGTATATTAAAACCATGAATAAATAAAGGCAGCTCAGGGCACAATGAGTTGATGTCCATCAGATATGGTTAAATTCTGATGAATAATTCTAACTTGCAATTAAGAGAAATTGAGGTGAAATACTTTAGTAGGTAACACAGTTGAAGACCTGTAGCCATTTCAAATTTCTTCCTCTCCCTGGGAGAACTGTGAAGTGCAATGGCTTCTAAATCCCCTTCCACACTCACGCAGCTTTCAACAAGGGCCTAGGCAGCACCAGAATAAAGTGGAGCCCCTTAGCAAAACAATGACATCTGCATGTGTCCACTTTGATTGTCCCACATCCAGGGCTAGCACAAAAAGAAAAACATCCAGCGACTCTGGCAGCCTGCCTGACACTCCCTGCCACCAACTACCTCATCTCTCCCAAAATGCAGGGGACACCTGTGTCCCTTCCCTGGAGCACAATTTAATACATTGGACTGAATTGGAGTTGAAGGGTTGGAGTGGGTTCAAATCTGGGTCAAAGGTCTTGTTAAGGTAAAAGATGATTATTTATAGCTGCAGTTAATCTAATACAATTACATTTCGCAGGGCCTGAAATATATGATAGCAAAAACAGTCACTGGTTCCTAGCAGCCTGATTTGAGTTATAGCTCTGCCTCTCCCCTTGTCTAAGAGACTGAACCCCTGTCAAAAGACTTTTTAAAATTACAGGACCTCTGTTAAAAGATTTAAAATATATGTATTTATCTATTTATTTGAAACAAACAATTACAGATTGCAGAAGAGACAAAACAGCTGCTGTTCAGATGCTCCCCAAATGGCTGTCATGACCAGGACTGGCCAGGCCAAAGCTAAGAGCCAGGAACTCCATTCAGGTCTCCCACTTGCTCACAGAGGCCCAAACATGGGCCATCCTTCACTGCTCTCCCGGGAACATTAAGAGAGAGCTGGATCGGGAGTAGCCAGGATATGAACTGACACCACTGTGAGAGGCTGGCTCTGCAGGTGGCAGCTTAGTCCATTACACCACAATCCTGACTCAAAAAGATTAGGAAAAAAAAAAGTGCAATCAAGATTCGTGCACATATTAAAAGATTTAATTTATTATTGATAAATAAATCAGGTACATGCTACAGCCTATTCAAAGAAGAATCCACAGAACAGACACTGTCAAAGATGAGGAATTGGGCCATAGATTTATAAAATAAGGTTGAATTTTCCACACAAGAGGAGCCCAGGAGTTGTCCCTCTACTGAACAGCCATGGTGTCCTTGTCAAACAAACATGTTCGGCACAGCTGTGAGGTCTCTGCTGTCTACAAAACTGTAAAATGGCTCGTGGCAACAAGAGGCTAGAACCAGCTAAATGACTCAAGTCCTAAACAGTGCAGTATTTCCATTGTGAATATACAATAAGCTTTGTTTCTAAATACTTATTTAGGGGCACAGAAAGAGATAAAAAAATTTCCTGGCTCAATCCCTAAATGGTCACTACAGTCAGATATGGATGATGCAGAAGCCAGGAGCTCCATCCTGGTCCCCCACATGGGTGGCAGGGACCCATGTATTTGGGCCATCGCCTGCTGCCTTTCCAGGCACGTGAGCAGGAAGCTGGATCAAAAGTGAAGCAACCTGGCTTCAACTGTACTCCCATCAGTGGAATACCAGCAACATTGGAGGCGACGGTTCAATCCACTGGGCCACAACAGTGGTCCCCTGTGGTTTGTTTTGTTTTCATGATCTATATACATACTTTTTTTAAAAAAAAGATTTATTGGGCCCGGCGCGGTGGCGCAAGTGGTTAAATCCTCGCCTTGCACGCCCAGGATCCCATATGGGCGCTGGTTCTAATCAAGGCAGCCCCGCTTCCCTTCCAGCTCCCTGCCTGTGGCCCGGGAAAGCAGTCGAGGATGGTCCAAGCTTTGGGACCCTGCACCCATGTGGGAGACCCGGAAGAGGCTCCTGGCTTCAGATCGGCATAGCATTGACCGTTGCACTCACTTGGGGAGTGAGTCATCGGACGGAAGATCTTCCTCTCTGTCTCTCCTCTCTGTATATCCACCTTTCCATTAAAAAAATAATAAAAATAAAT